GTTGGGATGGGAATGTAACAAACTTCTACAATCGTTACGGGAAGGGAATCAGTATATCAGATCACGTTTAGGCATATATCAGTCGATAGTGCTCAAGAAAATGCTCGAAAGCATCTTATTCGATCAGCGCCGCGGATTCTACGAGGACGAACAACGAAGACCAGCACAAGAGAACTGAGCGCGAAGCGGGTGCAGCAAGAATTCTATTGATATACATATATATAGTGTTTTCATCTATATGCAACTTGGATTGCATGTAAAGGAAATGAGTATTTTAAATGATATGAAATTACTTAGAATTTAATATTATGTTACATAAAAGTGTGCTGCGCTATTTTTCAGTAAAAAAATTTATTAGAAAATTGTTATTTTCCAAACGAAAACAAGCAGCAAGTGATATGAATTTATCGCCTGAATCTAAATTTTTCAGCAAGTTTAATATTTAGAACGTCCTTGATTTTTTATTTATTCGCTTTGGAGTATTAATAATGAAATAATTTAACTTGAAGAATTGCATTCGAATTTGAAAAATTCCGCAAATTCTTTTGCAAAAAGCCTTTCGCAATGTGCAGTCAGATTGCTAGCATTAAAAAGAAAACCATTTCACTTTCATTTCAAACCTTAACTTTGAGCGAGTTTCAAGTGTATACCTCTGTTCAGCCTAAAATAAGACTTGATATTTCAAAAAACAAACCTTGAAAGCAAATTTCGTTTTTCTCACAGATTTCATTGTACAAACTGCAACCTAAACACACGTATTTATTATATATAATAGAATTTGCTTTAAAATTAAAAAAAAACGACTTAGTATTTATTGCTTCTTGGTATAGACTATTCGGCCGAATTAGTAAAATTATTGCAATAAACCTATAAAATCCCTTTTAATTCAATTTTTGAACTGCATTTGTTATCTACTGCAGCTGACTTTATATTTTCATCAATAACTTTTCTCAAGTTGATTAACTCTGAAATACTCTTCCATACCAAAATTGAAAGTTGTTTACTTCATTTTAAGTGATAATCGATGAGACAGATTTGTAACGGGAAGTTCTGCAATAAAATGTAATTTGTTAACAATAAGGTCAGAATTTACACTTTATTGCATGTGATAGTAACTCGCGATTGCTTTTTATTATTACTTGGCTTACATTATATATATATACATGAATATTAAACGAACAAAAGCAATTTAGTCTTGTTCTTATTAATTGCCATATAGTAATTGTTACAATTTACTGAAATTGAAATTTTTGAGCAGTACTTTACTGCCGGTAAATAATCTTAACAATGTATGTAAATGGGAATAAAAATATTGACTATTTTATAAAATGTATACTCAAAGAAATCTTTCAGACTTCTTTTATCAGATGGTAGTTACAGCACTAATGTTTATAGAATGCATACCATTAATGGAGTGCTTAGAAAAAATCATATCTTCAGATTTGATTTTAAAAAGTACTACTATTTATGGAAAAATGAGGGAAATCACTTTAAAATTTGAAGCAAAAATTCAAAATGGGAGCACTAATTTAAAATTTCAGTAAGAAAACAAAAATTATTCTGCTTGTGTAACATTTTTTCAGAAATTATATCAGATGAATATGTTGCGAGACAAATACCACCGAAATGAAACATTTATCTCCAGGATTTTGGATTATTCTGCGATATGATTTTCTATTCTGCGTATTTTTGATTCATGGCATAAAAGCACAAGCACATAAGTAAGCAAGAAATTTGATTTGTGGCAAAATGAAATTAGATGGACCAGAAAGAAAGAAAACATGGTGCATATGAATGAACGAATGAATAAATAAATAAATTAACTCATCAGAAAACACAGAACCCAACGAAAGTAAAATGCTGATCGCGAGTTTGCACATCCTTCCACTTTATAACTACTTTTGAAAAAGTCATATCCAGATTTTCAAGAAGTAATCGGACGTTTTCCTGTTTTATTAACAAAATACAAAATACTGTGCAAATAATCTGAAATGTTCTTATTCAGAAAAGTAATTTGTTCAAGTTTGGCAATATTTATTTCAGCAAAAAATAAAAAAACTAAAACCGTATCTTATGGCTAACAAAATAACTGCGAAAGTTTGGAGATTACTCGATGTTGAATGATTATTTGTTTCAGTTATTAATCATTGAAAACTAGAGAGAAATAATAATGTTGTGCTTTTCATGTCATAATTGATAGCGTTTGAAAAGGAATAAAAATGAGTAAATACTCGCTTAAATGAATTATACAAATTTTCTACTTCACGCGGCAATTCATTCTTCAAAAATCTTTCAATAATTTTTAGTGTATTATTGACTGTTCTGTTTATAAATATCGCGCAATTATGCAAAACATAACTTGGCTGAAAAAGTTTTGAATTAACTTTTCTTTAAAGCGAAATTCGTTGGAAAGAATCAACGCAACTTATTATTCTACATTTTTTAAATCTGTAACTTGCAACAAATAAAGCCCTGGATTATTTATTTATAACTTTCACCTATGAAAACAGAGGTAAAACATGGATAAATAAAAACTCGCATGTATATAAATAATGAGAATTTATTACTTAGCTACAATTTCATTCATGCTAGTGACATATATTATCCATAAACAGAAAGCCACTTCTTCTTCAGATATTTTTCAGCACTAACTTCAAGCAATGAAAACACTAATTATCCCTTCTCACTTGCTGATTCAGCTTACATCTGTAGCACCTGTAAAAGAAAAGACAAAAGGTAGTGACCATGAATGTGCACAGCATGATGATGGCGTATTATTGCCTACTTCTTCATAATTACTGATGAGATAAAATTTCTTTAATTACTGAACAACACAGTCAGTGTCAGTCTCGAACATTATTCAATATATAATACTCGCATATATAAAAATAATGAGAAATTTGTAAAGTGCTCATTTCAACTCCAGAAGTATGCCAGGAGAAGTAAGCAAGGATCACCTAGCAACGATAGTACTTTTTCCATAGCAAGTCTTGATGGGTACTTCGAAATTAATGAGCAAATCAGTTTGCAAATAATACTCGAAAAAGGAGACTATAATAAGATGTAAAGAGTGTGATTGCTGCTGATGAGGTGAGCCCAGGAGCGTATTTGGCATTGTGCATGGACCTGCAACTGCAACTGCAAATATATGCAAATGAGTGTCGATTGATGAACTTTTGAGAATTGATTCTAAGAATAGAGGAATTCTGAGATGAGTAATTCTAATTGTTGTATATTGAGAATGAATGAACTTTAAGCGCAGCAGATCAAGTCTACGTTCAAATAACGGCCAAATTATGGTACTGCCTGTCCTTCGACAAGCAGAAAAAGCTACTCAGAAAAGCAACTGCAGTCTCTATCTCCAACTGAAATAATATTTTCCAAAATGATGTCACTTATGGAGAGCCAAGAAATAATTCTGCGCATGTTTCGTTTCATTGTTTGGCAAATTCACACCAAATGGCATAATGCAGCCAAAATAGAGCAAGACGATGCAACATTCAGAGAAATAACAGAGAAGAAACAGTAACATTTCTACATGATTTGCTACACCAAAAAGTTATCTTCCGCCCATTTCTCGCCTGTATTTTGATTAAATTAGGCAATAATCACATCTGGATACATTAGCATAAATTTGACCCGTTATAATCACTTTCCACTCAGCCATGCAGTAAATTTGAACTCATTTTCTTACCATATAACGAACAATTTTTTAGCAGAACATGATAACCGCATTAAAAATTGCCATTTGTCAATCTGCAGTAACCATTTTTATCCCAAGAAGAAACTAACCTTGCCTTCTAGTATTAATTTTTTTTATTCACAGAAAGTACATAACTTCACTTCTTTACTTAACACTTTACAAACAGGCTTCTTTAACATGCGTGAGATTGCGCATTCGAAGAGGTTTCACATCAGTTCATCTTTCTTAACTTACTCAACTTAGAGCATACTAACTGCTCCGAGAATTCAAAGGTTGCGACTAATAAATTCTCAAGCTTTCATCAATAATTACTTATTTCCAATATTTTAAGCGATTTTTTATAGAAACAAGGTGGATAGATAGAAGTGACAATTTCGAATCATATCTCTGACAATTTCGTGTTATTTCAACACTGAAAATATTCTACTGCAATGGAAGTCGTACATATTGCAATGAGAAGAACATGATTCATTAAGATAAATAGAAAAATGTAATCATAAGCACGTGTAATTTCTTTTACCCAATTGAAAGCACATTTAAGTATGGGAATTATTCAGACGATCTTCGTTATCATTTATTTCAACAGCTACGAAGTCACAAAAAAATTGACATCGTAGATACGTCAAGGAGCATTTAAATCTTAGAGTCTGCCTTCTGTCTCCTTTAAACAACATTTGCCTTTGGAATTGAAATATAGTGAAAGTTCATTCAATACTCAAAAATGAATTGCTGTCTTGGTTAATTCAGTTTTCATCAAAGTAAGACTCCTTAACCACGGACCATCCAATAGTAAATTAGCCAAACAACACATGTAATTGACGAAACTAGATTTAAATGTAACTAGAATAAGTTTCATTGCTCGCAAAAACTAAAAACGGAGCTAAAAAGAATTTTACTTTGTAATTGCAACTTGCTGCACCACCCAACATGGTTGTTGAATAACATCCAATTCTAAATTGGGAAGCCGACGATCGATCCCCAAAGTTTGGCAAAGTCAAACGCTGACTTCTTGATGGCACTGAGGAAGTACATGTAAATACACATCGTCAAATGAAAATATGTATTCACATTTCCGCTGCTAACAAAATGAAAGGTTGTGCGTAAATTTTCAACTACACTCCTTGCAGGATTCTCTTAGGCACAGGAAAAAAAAGTAAAGGTCACTATGACTGATCTCAACAAGTATGCTTGAACGAGTGCATTTTACTAGTGTTTACTTTACAGAGAACTTTAGCTTCGAGAACATCTCTGTACATGAATTTGTCGAAATTCTTATCATTTTCGTATGCTCGAGTGTAACGAAACATTGACAATGTAGCGTCTATTTGCAAATGTTTCGGAATAAGCTTGCTTTATTTTTCAGCGTAAATTTTAAATATGTCCAGCTGACAATTTTAAAATTTACGTCACTTTTTATTACGAAATGGAGCACCATGAAAGATTAGATAAACGCAGTTAAATAGATGGAATAGATGGATGAAGGTACAGCAAACAGAATGAAAAAACTCTTACCATGGGCGAGTTTCGAGCTTGCACTCCCGACCAAAAGACAAAGTAAAAGAATGGTTGCCTTCTGGAAGGAATAAACAACACTTAAGCAGGAACCTGCAGGGTTTCTCAGGTTTTCCATATCTGCAATCCGGTTAAATACTCGACTGCTCAACCGCTTATACTGATGGCCATCGATGGCCTATGGCAGGCAGTAGGACGCAGTGTTGCAGGCATGGGTGGAGTGGTGTCCATATTACTCGTTTAGCCAAGAGAAGAGAGGCAGAAGCAAGCACCATGCACATCCGGCTGGCTCTACCGTAATCTCTCGCTTTTTGTTTATTTCGAGCTGAACTAGTCATTCCTGCCTCTGCGCCCCGAGCAGCCACCTTATCGATTATAAGTCTTGAAATGGCCAAGTGATTATGATTGTCATGCTCTGGCCTCAGCATATGCTCGGTCGCACTCGAAGATTGCAAATATGAGTGCAACTGGAACTCGTAAGAGTAGAGGCAGCTTCCCAAATTGTACACTCAAACTAAGTGGACAGAGACTTTATTTTCGTTCCTTCGCAGTTAGCTAATTTGCATAGTCAACTTACGGCTATATGCACTAGCCATCATACTTATACATGCATGTATTGCTAGTAAAAAGCATACAGCTAAGCCTGCAGACAAGCACACGCGTACGTACGTACGTACACAACATAGAAGTAATCGCACTCTATTCGGTGAAGAGTGCTGAGAGCTGAAAAGGGAGCTGATGGATTGACTGCAGTGTTCTTTGCACTAAGAAAATGAAAGAATTAGAAAAGGATGAGCGAATGTAACAAGCAATACACCTCATACAGCCAATCTTATGCACTTTGTGCACCGCACTCTCGCGGTCGAACTGAACTATCTCAAGTCCTAATTATACGTATATATATAGCTGGTTCCCGTGCTCTCTGCAACACAATTTCAACAACATATATATTCTCTTATTGCTCGCCAACACAGTTTCAAAACAAACAGTTACAGCAACGACAGATGTTCCCTATAAATGATAAATGTTCTTTTCACAACAATCAGCCACACAAAATTCCGAATTTAGATGCTGTGAAATCTAATTGTTTGCTTAGATTACTTCCTAATCCAAATGCATAAAATTGGCTGTATCACGTCGACTGATTTTGAGAACTGCCATTCATGAGCGGCTTTTGCAAAATTAATTCAAAGAATAAACCCTCATCCCATTCAGCTTCACTGGATGAATACACATCATAAACAGTCCACTGTACAGTTCTGTAAAAGTTTTATATGCATTTCGTGTTTTATTCAATTTGTGGCCCGTTAAATTCAGGTCAAGTTAACAAAAAGTTGAAATTACTGTACTTCATGACTCGTACATAAGAATTGCTAGGCGAAGATGAGGTTTTAAGCAAAGATGTAAGTTCGCAAAGGTAGTATTGTTATATCTTTTTTGTTATATAATTGTCTTTAGAACTTTTAGTTGTGCGAAAAACATACCTCTTAACGAATGGAAAGCTTATGAGGAAGAATATGGAAATGTTTATTACGATAAAAAGTTGTTAATCACGGTCTCCTCTATTTAATTTATTCTTAAAATAACTGCCTTTTTTGTGCCGTTTTGAAGTTTTAGGAATTATTCAGTGTTGGGAGCATACTGTTGTAGTTAAAAGTCATGGAGTGTTTCTCAGAATTACTGCATGCACTGGAGGACGATGAGGAACGAGCTGTGGTTCAGCGTAATAACCTTTCTTATTTTCAAAACAAATGTATCAAAGAACAACATATGAGGTGAGATTTGTGGAGATATTACCTCATTGTATTCTTTATTTATCGGCGCTTCAAAGTTTATCGAATAGGAGTTGATCCTCGTATAATATAAAGGACACAGTCCAGTCGTGTGACTTGTGCTTTATCTAAGAATTGATACAAGTCGTGGTCACAGGTAATATAGTCATATAAGATATCTGGAAGGTTAAAGTATCACTACACATAACTCTAGTACACTTTTTTTTTTTTAAATAATAAGCTTTCTTGAGATTGCCAATATTCTCCTATTACCTTACCGATATTTTACAGACTTTTAGATAAACGACGCTTGAACAGGCGAAATGAGCATCGTCGACGTCGTATAAATCAGGCGAGAAAAGAAATCGTAAATTATGCACTCAGTTTTGAATTACAAATATTAATTGACTTTGGGTTCAGTCAGTATATGAGCAATAAAGAAATGAGTGGATTAGTTCGACAAATGGGTCGAGTTTGGGGGATACAAAAAAAGTTATTTTTCATGAGAATTTTCCGCTTCTATAAAGGTGTCGCGCTCTTTCAGAATATGATTTTTACATTTTTCCCATTGAATGGCTCATATATTACTAATAATACCTAAAATGAAACTCTATTTGCAATATCATAACGTTATAGTGTATGAAAGTTAGACTCATTAAAAAATTACTTTTGCAGAACTCGCGGCTTAAAAATCATACTTTCTGCTCCTGACACGCGCTTTTTAAGTGAAGGGAGCAAAAAACTTTCTGGTTTCGATCGCTTCAGCTGGGTTATATCGAATAAAAATTTAGAAATGGTAAAAGTTGTTTCAATTTACTGACCATCGCGCTATAAACTTAAGTATTCACCATTAAGAAATTGCAATGACATAATTCCCATAGTTGTCATGTAATATTATATTAACAAGAGTGCAGTTTATAAATTAGCTCAAAAAGTTTCTGTTGCCTATTTCATTATTCGTTTCATAAAAACAACAACTAATGGTAAATAAATTGTTTTCAGCGACATTTATACAATAGAGAAATAATTATTATAGTATCTTTATTTTTATTTATACCTTTCTCAGTTATTCGTACTTTACTCAGTTAGCTTAGGTTATTAATGAACATCGTTTCGTCTATTTGAGTCCAGACCCACAACTAGATCCTTTGCTAGAAGTAAAACCTGAAATTGTGTATATTGTTGGTGGTCTGGTTGACGAATCTGGAGTCGGGTCTTTGTCACGTCGTAGAGCAGGTTGAACTTATATTACTTTCATGCGTACACAATTAAAATTATGAACAACTGATCACTTTCGTTGCTAATTTGCTTCTTTAACTCTTCATTCATATATTTTTAGCAGTAAGCGAAGTAGATAGTTTGCACGGTTTAACATTTGATGTTGTAAACAAATTAATTTGTAACATGTCATGAAATGAAACAAATTAAATAGTTTCTAGTTTATGTTTTGAAATGAATTAGAGCGATTCTGTGGAATTTATGATTTTTCCTATTTACGGCAGGGTAGAAAATTTGTGATTCTAATAGACCATAATATTCTTTTTTTTCTTAGTGCTTCAAATTTTTCGTGTATTTGTAGTTAAGATTCAAAAATATTTTAAAAATGAATCACGTCATATATCTCTATTAAACTTTTCTGTTTTTATTTTTGAGAATTTTTTGCGTCAGTTTTAAGAAAATCTTTATCTAAAAGGGCTTGTAGACAAACTTCAAAATTGTGTGGAAATTTATGTTGCAGAAGAATTGAATGTGGATGTGCGGCGACTACCGATACAGGAATTTTTGATAAAACGTAATACTGGAACTTTTAACATTATGCTCGCGATAAATCAAGTTGTTGAGATTCTTGTGCGTTATGTATGTTCTAAAGATTGGGTCCAAGCACTTTCTGTAGTGCCAAAGCGTATTGGCTATGGAATTCCAGAATTGTAAATTATGTTTTTCTTATTCATTAAACATTATTCATGGTCAATGTTTTATGTTTATCAAAACAAGCATAAAGTAATGAAACGTATAACTTTTAAAATGTGATCAACCTAATCGAAGAGTTCTACAAAAAAACAGCTGGAATATTTTAGACTATATTAAAATTATTCAAAGTATGTATCATAAGTGCATAAGACTTTGAGCTTCATATTTCAAGTTCGTCAGAATTATGTATGATGCTATATACGGAGTACATACCTTGTTCAAATATCAGTGATTAGTTGCTACTGACTTGCAGGCTTTATTGCATATCTGTTACTGTTTTTTCTTTGTTATTTGCAGTTTGCTGAATTTTAAAACGAAAGGATTAGTCTTTGTCGATATTAAAATGCTGGTTCACATGCCAGTGAAATAATTTTGAAGTCATTAGTCAAGAGATATGTGTTTTGTCAAGAAGTTATAAATACAAGTTATCGCACATTTAAATGAACCAGGTAACTGAAATAATGCAAGGATACAATGATGATGACTTTTTTGGTGTCCATGCAGCAACAGAAACACAACTCCCAAGGCAAATGGAAGCTGCAAAAACTTTGAGATCAAGGATAAAAGAAAGGGAACGCCGTCGACCCTGCAATGAGGAAGGTTGCAGTACCTCGAATAGAAGGTTAATTTATTTCAAGTTGAGCATGTCTAATGTTAGGTCATTCTAGACGGTAAACCTGTAGGAGTTTTGGGATGTACCAAGGTTACTGTTGTTGGTACTGGAAGTTTAAGTTTTCATTTGAAGGGATTGTTTATCACTAGAAAAGGCTCTTGACTGCATTTTTTTGACATGAATCTTGAACAGAATTAAAACGCACTTTTAATTCTTAACATTTTGTTGCATCCAGACTGGTTACATCATCTTGTATTACTTTTTAACTGATATGGTCCCTAATTCTTTCAGGTCGACTGATTATGATACAATAACTAATTATTCTGCGGAAGATCTTGATCGAACTTGTGTTCACAGTAACAGTGACTGCGATAATGTTACTAATACTCAGTTATCAGTAAGCTTTATTTGTTATAGTATTTGTTAGTCTTGTGTCTTGATACGCTTCGTTGAGTCCTCCACGAACCACGGACGATCTGCAGTGCTAATAATCTCAGAATTCGTTTGCTTCTTCAGTTCTTGCACTCGCAAACCTCTCGCTATACAGGAAACGACACAGTGAGCATCTCCCGAAACAATTGAGGACCGTTTTCAGATCCTCTCTTGTTTGCTTTCTCTGAGGAACGTCGATTCCGCAAGCAAGTGCCTCAAGTTTGATTATTCTGCTAGCATCTGGTTTCGGTACACTACACTATCAGAGGGCTCCTCTCCCACTCTTCAGGAAGCTTTCTAGCTGCGTCTGTCTTCCCATTGTTTTCATTTTGGGTTTTTTTTCCTTTTACCCTCCATTTTATGTTTCCGGTAGCTCGGAGTCGACTAGTCGGCTATGTATGTAATTTCTTTCGTTTGGTCATTTATGATCAATAAAGACGTTATAGAGTTTTGTGTCGCCATGCTAGAATGTAAGAATTATTGTATTATTAACAATATCTTGGTTGCTGCAATTTTTTGTTCTTACCAAACTAGTGAAGTTTAGGGCATAAAAATTAGTGTATGAAAAAAAAGTTGAAAGTTGCAGAAAGTAGTGGAATCAAATGCTCATTACAATACTGGTCTGTGGAGAATATGGGAAAAAATTGACTCGGTATGGGAAATGAGTGATGAACAGCTAGTTGATGTCATGGTAAATCGAATAATTTATGAAGATGGTATGGTTGTAGTATCGAACCTTACTCATTTTATCAAGTCAATCTTCATGAAATTTTAATTCAAGTGTTTCCATTATCCTTTTCGTTCTTTTATCACTTATTTATTTTTTGAGGAGAACTCATTGCATTTGATAAGCCTTACCAAGTAGCTTTTTGCAATGCACCAAGAAACCAAGCAGAAATATTGCGCATTCTTCCCCAACTTTCTTCTCATGTATCACCACGCGGCAGTATTTTACATATCGTTAAGTCTATTTCAAAGCCTGCAACCGGGATAATACTTTTTGCAAAGTGCGTTTCTTTCATACAGGTTTGAGAGAAATCAAGAAATGTTGTATGATATGGAATTAAGCATTATACTTAGTTTTCATGGAGTACTTTTTTAGTTTTAAGCTGAATACTCTATGATCTAGCTTCCAATAATTTTGTGACCTGTTAAGAAGCATTTACTTTTCAGTAATTATAGAAATGGTCGAAATCAGTTACTTTTTATTGTATTTTAATTTGGTTTAAGTAAATGTTCATTTCTTTTTTCTTTAATCAAGTTCATTTTTTAATTTCTTTAAAAGGAATCGAAGTGCTCAGGAGAGGATGAAAGCTTTATATAATAATGGTTTTGTGAAACAGTATTATCGCATCCTCACAAATATGAAACCTAAACATGATGAGGCTGTTATTCATATACCTCTTATTAAGTGCAAACGAGACAACAATTATGTGGTTGATTTTATTGAGTTTTTTAGTATGTAAGGAATCTGTGTTATGGGATATGATTAGTAATATATGACTTCATAAAATATGTAAAATATGCGCTATCGTTAGCTTGAAATCGTTTTTCCAAAACTCCAACCAACAACATTATTTAATTTGTTAAATCGGTCATCAAATATCATTTTCGAGTGTTCTACGTGTCAGTGTAAAAAAAGCTTTATTCAGTGATATCTACAAATTTGAAACTAATGTTTGATTTTAGTAAAGATTTAGATGTTACCGTTGGGAGCTACCCAAAGCAATAAGATCAGTCCATTTTTAGAGGCTAAAACACAATACAGATTACTGAAACATGATTCTCGAAATCAAACCAGCTATATGGAATGCATCATCAAACAAGGTATTTAATGTGGGAAAAAATCTTGTTTATTTCATGATAAACAATAAGAATTCCACAAAATTTTTGAACAATTAGTTCCTTTCAAACATATTGGATCTATATTCAGCTTTCATTTCGTGTTGCTGATCCATTTAATGCATATTTTAGTACTACACTTTGGTTTAGCTTATGAAATTAAGTCAATTAGAGTTATTATTTTCCACGGAGATTGAAATTTATGAGAAAACGAAACTCATTACCTTCTTTGATACCCTAAATTGTGTGGTCAATAGATTCAACAAAATATGTCACCTTTTTTGATTTCTAAGGATTATAGTATTGTTAATTTCCAAGTATGAAGAATATATTTTAACACATCACAATAGATCAAAGTGTCATTTCGCCAAATAATGATAATAGTGAAACATGGGTTTTTTTTTTAATTTGGTAAAACCGCAAAAAAAATATAAATTTGTGTGGTTTATTTTTATGAAGTGCGAGTAGCAATGATTTCAGATGCTCCTGACCAAATACGTGCACATTTCGGTCTTGGAATTGCATGTCCCATCATCGGTGACTTTAAATATAATTGGAGCCGCAGAGAAGCAGGAAAAGGAATCCCACCCCGATTATTGAACGCAGCATTACAAGATTTACATATTACCGGTAGGATCTCACATTCTTTTGTTTTTATCTGCCATCGTATCTCATCAATCAAAAGTCAGCTTTTTAACTGCATGGGATGTATTCATCTGGCCTCAGTGTTTCCCTCAATTTATTTTTTCCACCATTCAATTTTTATTCGGTTTTATGATTTCAGAAAAGAGTTTTGATCTCTGGTCACTTGTTTTGTCGTTTGCATGCTGTTTTAATGAACAACCTGCTTATGAATATATATAATTTTATTGAAGATATCAAGAATTTGATTTTTGATAGCATTCAAGTGCAATGCAAAATTTGCTATTATTCAATGCTTCAATGCTTTTATTTAATTATTTTGTATGAAACTAATATCATTAATCTGTTTCAGGCAGTTCATTCCGTAGGTTACCAATGTTCATGCATTTGAAGGAAGTAGTAATTTCGATATCGGATCGTCGATGTCGGAAAATTCATATTACTGCCCCATTACCATCCTTTTTTACTTATACTTTGAGCAAGTTGCGATTATTAAAATAGTGGTAATAAAATTGTCTGTCATATTTTTGCGTGTAATTTTGTGCTCCTTCAAGTTCCATTTAATATTTTTTGTGTTTCCAAAGGTAATTGAGTACTAAGAAAGTTGCGAACATTTCTGTAAGGTTTGTATTGAGTAAAAATGAAAACAGTGCATCGAAATAGAAATAGTTTGTGCCAGTCTACATATAAATTATGCTTGACTTCGGTTGATATCAAATATTTTGGTCATTTCGAAGTTTCCAGAATTCGATGGCTTGATAAATTCTTTTATAATTAAATTCTCAAATTTGCTAGTTGCCTCTCCATTCGATGCCTATTAACGATATAGTAGGATTGTCAATTTTAGGTGTTTAAAATAATGTTCAAAGTGAGTAATTCTCTAATTTTTGACTTACGAACACCACGTTACGTCTGCTATGCAAGATTAGGTGGTAGATTATGTAGTGAAAAGTCAGTAATTAAATGGCATACCTCAGCACATTTCCTAATGTCTTTGTTGCGAGCCATCCAAGATGAGTACGTTAAGCAAACCTTCTTGGTCTTTTTAAGGAAAAGTGGCGTAGTTCCTGATGATAGGGTGCGTTTTCTTTTCATTTGTTTTATATTGTCGTGTAGGCTTCTTTTTTTTTCAATTGTTGCTTGCAGTTGTTTATTTTGTAAATTTTGGATGAGGCTGATTCGGTGGATTCTGTTAAAATTTAGCTTACCATGACATTTATCAACGAGAAATTCATTCTGTTGCATATGCAGGTAGTGTATTTGGTTATCCGTTTCCGGGATCCGCTAGTTAGTGAAATTGATTACAATTGGTATGGATTCCGTAAGTAATAGTATCACCGATTTTATATTTGAGTTTCGTTATATCAATAATACTATTTTTGAAATTGCAGTTTCCTAATTTAAAAAAAATCTGAAATTAGGAGGAAGCAAAATTTATTCTTGCAGAATAGGAGAATTTTTTACTCTCCACTGTTATAGTCCAATTTTTTTCACATTTAGCATGAATTTGGACTTGTTCAGGATTCAGTCGAAAAATGTGAAGCATAGAAGTTAGGTTCTTTTCAGGAATTACAGGATTTGCACTCTTTGTTCACGATTCTTGCATCTAGAAAAAATGCTGTGGGTTTTATCTACATTTGGTGGTGCTTTATCAGCCATGGGTGATTATTACAAACATTTTGTAAGTTAAAAGTTCTTTTAGGCCTAACGTTTTTTTAATTGCCTCATTTTTACTATCGGAATACGAGGTGACAGGAGAATGATGGTATGATTTCTTAATCAGAAGAAATTCTTTTAGTTATTTAGATGTTTCATTATTTGAAATATTCACTGTTTCACTTCGTGAATGAAATATTAATTCTTCAGGCTGAAAGAGCAGAGCGTGTTTCTTACAATCAGATGCGACTAGCATTAGATATTGGTGATCCCGTATTGGTTTCTCGGTGTAAATTATATATTTCAATTAGCTTTATGCAGAGAAACAAATGTCGTACTGCTGCAAAAATTATTCGGTTGTTCATTCTTTTATTGAAAGTAATTTCATACCTTTCTAAGGGAGTAGACTGGTAGTTAACAATGGAAGTTTTTTGTGTATGTTGTGATACAAATGTTCAGGTATTCGTACGATTTCTCGTACAAAAACCTAATTGACGACTGTTTATCAAAACGAGTGTGATATTTTCAGAAATATAACATTCAAATCATTAGACCATCAAACTATTTAGGGAAAAAACCAAGCATTGTTATCGCAGTTTTTGAGTCTCTCAGCCTTAAAAAGTGATGTCATGAAAGAAAAAATCCTTCAATGTTTTTCGGACTGTACTTTTTATATTGTAAGATATTTTTATGAATTTGCTAACGTTTAGTAATCTTGGCAGCGTTTTATATATTGTATTGTAAATTGATTTTAATGATTTTCAGTAAAGAATATGGTGTTGCAAAAGCTCTAAAAAGTGATTTTCTACTTCACTGCTGTGAAGGAGTTTGGCTAAAGTTACGCGGTATAGTTGAGAAAAAAAAGTGTTGCAAATGAAGTCTCAGTTGGAAGCGTTGATTTCGGCATCAAGTGCAACAAGAAGTGCTAGTGATCATGCTAGTTTTATTTCAGAAACTGGTGTATAGAAGTACACTAAGACTTAATGTATTCTAAAATTTTCTTTGGAATCAGTCACAAAATCTTCTGTATATTCCGGCACTTTTGCAGTTAAGCAATTATAAGTGAGATGGGAAAAAAAATTTTGAAATGGGCCGTATATAATAGTGATTGGATATATAAATTTGCCATTTTTTATTGGAATTTTGCAGCTTGCAAATAGTTTTTGATGTTACCATTTTCTTATTTATGCCATCTATTTCACTGCAAGCTGCGCATTCTACTCATAGGTGGTGCACTAATTCCTGTTCTTACTGTTCTTTACTATTATAGTTTTCGTCGTCATTAGTTGTTCATGCAATAATAAACCTAGTTCAAAATTATTCGTTGGTAAAATTGACTCTGTCACTAAACCTTGATGAAAACACTGGAATGATATCAATAAGTTTTGACCCGCAGCCTTACTTAGATGGAAATACGTTCAGTAATTCTGGTGAATTAGATTCGAAATGCAAAAGCGTAATATTTGGGATTGTAACGTGCTGTGAGATTTTATTACATGAAATAAGTTAGTGTGGTTTTGGTGAGTCACAAGGAAAGAGCAATATGATCTGTTTGGAAGTAAGTTTTTCTGATCGTGAAATTGATGTTCAGACTTGCTTAATTTTGTGATATTTGGATTGAATTATTGGAGGATTCAGCTCTAATTTTATGGGAGGAGTGTTGCACTTTTCGGATAAGTGACTAGATGGCAACAGTGAATGGCAAACCTGAAAAACCCTTACAAATGTTTTGATGAGTTCCCTCTTTAACACAAAGCTGCACTCACCCGAAGCATATTCCCATATTTTGTGGAATGGTTTTAGTAAACAACTGAGACTTTTTCTGACCACAAATCTGTTTATACAATTCATAAATTCCATGACTGCATCCATATATATCATCATGATTGTCATTATTTCTGCTGCAATCCATTGTAGATTCTTATTGTGTACCAAGCAATATTATTTGCAAAAAATGTCGTAGTCGTAAAAGCTTTAAGATTTATCGCTTTCTAATTAACAAATAGACTCTGCAGTAGTTTGTTCACAGCTGTTTCTCTTTTCCCTAAAGAAACCAATGTTATAGTACTCAGTTGGTAGGTAACCTGACAATGGAATATTTAAATTGTTTTTTCAGATATATTGAAGAATACGAGTGTTTGTGGTAAACTCTCCTCAGATGTTGTGTCACTTTGTTTTTCAGCTACTTAGCATTTTCATAACTGCAACAGCAGTGAGTCACCAAAAAATAACAGCAAACGAAGAAAATGATTTGAGTAAAGAACTTTTGGCATTGCGGCAGGTTCATCATTTAATATTACAAGCAGCTATCCTTTTCTGATATCATATTGGAACCGTAATTACTAATACAGTAGTAGTGCTGGTTGGTTATGATGGTGTGAAGAGAAGGTTGCTATGAAAAAAAAAGTTTCGTTATGAAGGAAAAAATATCAAAATTGCGAGGGATTAGGATTTGTTTACCTGTTCAATAGGGCATTGAATTTTCATGATACTACTGTGGTTTGTTGGATGTTACTGTAGAATGTTACTAGAATGTTACTTTAGTTTATTGGATGGAACAGGCGCAATTTCATTTCATTGGTATTCAAAATCTTGATAGCAACAACTAAAAAACTTATGTTCGCGCTTTAAAGACCCTATTTTTCATGCAAAAACAGGATTTAAATTATTTTCACTGTTTATTCATTTAATTCTTTTCCCTGTTACTTGCATTTGGATATTTTCAGTACATGCAGTTTTTACACATGCAAGTAGAGCAAGTGTTGTCAAGGATGAACGAGATGCAAGTGCATTTATCAAGGCTCCAAGAAACTTCCAAAAGTAACTGTACCGATTTCACAATTACTGTATATCAAACATTTTGCAGCAAGAAAAGTTTATATATTTCTAAGATCAGTATCAAATGAGATAAATATCGTCAGGGACACAAGCATTAATCACATCCGAGTTTCCTGAGAAGGGTGGAAAAGGTGCAACAGGCCGACCCGGAATTAAGGGAGATAAAGGCGAGCAGGTTTGCACCAATATTTATTTCTATGATAAGATCACAAAATAATTAGAATTAAAGTCTTCAAAAAGATTTGCATAAGGTCATCATAAATCAAATAAGATCACTAATTAATTTTTAGGGTAGTTATGAAATGAACTACTGAGGAAAACTTGCCCTCCGATAATTTTTGTCGAGAAGTTTTATCCTCTCGATTTAATCGATATTTCTAGTTTGATATATTTTTATCAGAACTTTATAATAAGTTAGATGGTATGTTTAAAAAAAACGAATTGAACTACCATAGGAGTTAATTGAGAGAAGTTTAAATTATTTGTTACTTAAAAAGTTCGAATTTTGCAGAAAATTCATTTGAGCGGTTTATCAAATTAATTCAGGGGGATCCCGGAGTAAAAGGTGAACGTGGATACCAGGGTATTCCAGGGACTAAAGGTAGTCAAGGAATGCCAGGAAAATCAGGTAAACCAGGAATTCCTGGTGAATTGGGGATTCCCGGTGCGAAAGGTATGGAAGGTTTGCCGGGATTAAACGGTGCTAACGGTCTACCTGGATTGAAGGGAGATCGTGGCAGTTCGGGACTTCAGGGAAGACCTGGTGCGATCATCTGGTATATACATATATTTGACTTCTTAAACAGCGAAAAATGCTTTGATTTCTAAGCAAAATAAAATATGGAGACGGTTTTTTGAGAAAGTTAATGATGTCTTGTAATTCAAAACTCAAAGAAGAATTGAATCGGCATCATATCAAATTTTATTGTATACAGTCGAGTTTCTTTAGGAGTTCCTGGTCCACCAGGTGAGAAAGGAAAGCCAGGGTTAAATGGTTCTCCTGGGCAGCCGGGAAAAATCGGTGATCCTGGTATTCCAGGAGTACCAGGAGTGCAAGGTATAGTACTCAAAGTTTTCACTTCAACTCTGCTTCCTCAAAAAAGGGGAAGGGGATTCCACTAAAAAACGAATGAATTTTTCACATAGAGCGTGTAAACTAGAAAAAAGTCAGTTTTATTAATGATTGATGATGCTTCATGGCTAACTTAATTACTGCAAAATCATTCGAGGAGAAATTGCGAAAATTAAAAAATAAGTAATGCAGGTGGCTCATTACTAATTACTGCTCTCAGAGCTTATAAAATTCTAGAATATAGTTGTAACTTCTCAAAAACAAATGTATGCATAAGTTCCATATTATTATTCCTTAAAATCACGAGCAGTAATTTTTATTTAGAAAAACATTCCAATTTTACAATAAATTCAGGCTCTACTGGACCAATGGGACCACCAGGTTTAAAAGGTATGCAAGGGGAAAAGGGGGACATCGGTCTACCGGGATTTCCAGGATCCAAAGGTAGTCCAGGGCAAGACGGTCTTCCAGGCTTGCCTGGTCAGTGATATTTCTATTCATACCTTCAGATAAATAAATTTGAACTGATAAATCAATCCATCTTGATAACTCGTATTTGAAGCTGAAAAATAAGTAAAGATTTTATGGGTATTAGCTTATAACTTGATCGCAACAGTGTTTCCCAATTCATTAGCATAATTTCCCAATTCATTAGCATAATTTATTTGCTTTTGATCAGTGGAAGTTATCAGTTGTTACTTTCTTCTAAATCTTCTTTTCTTATAATTTCCAGATAAGTAACTCATCCTCTTTTATAAAACCAATGTTTATCTTTTCCAAAGTGTTATTATATTCATTCGCAAGTAAATAAGAGAAACTCTTTCACTGCTTGATTAGAGGAGTTTTCCACAAAATTTAAGCAGTTTTGAAATGAATAAATTTATTTTTACTCTGGCAACTATGTTCGTAATTTCTGCATTCAGGCTGGTTATTAAATGATCAAGGTTACTGTATTCTGTCTCTTGGTTCGTGTCCTCCATCGTTCACGGAAGTCATGTCGTATAATCGAATCCTTGAAAGTTATCGTTTTGGAGAATATTCGTTGGTGTCAGGTTCAGGACAACAAGAAGTTTGGCATGAATTGAAAGTGCATGCTTGTTGTAAATGATGAGGCATTTGGATTCTTTCGTATCGGCAATCAATAATTTCTATTTTTCTGGAATAAATCTTAGTATTTGTTGAGCCATTATATTATTAATAGTTATTATTACTGAGTTAATAATTATTATCAGGACCACTGAGGCGATTATTGGCGGTAAATGTTTTTTATGGTGCAAAGCATAATTCTTGATAATGTAAATTTATTTCTATTTAGAACCGATGAAGTCAAACTAGATTTGTTTTTTTTTAAATAGATATTGTCAGCAGATAAAGCTTACTGGAATCTCAGAACTGTGTAAGAATCTCTGCATTCACGGCTATGTATTTGACAAATTATTGCAGAAAATGGGCCTTAATATACAAAAATTAAAATGTATTGCATCTCAGATACAGTGTTTTGGTAGTTATTTCTCATCATAAAATGAGGATCAATAATAGAATGGTACTCATTTTCCACGCAAAAATAGAAAGTTGTTCGCGAGTAATGAAAATCTTCCATCAAAAGACCCTTATATATTGTATTGCTCATTTTATCAACTAAACTTTCCCGAGTTTAACTAGCTTTTCATAATTGAGAACTAGTCTGAGACATTCAATTCTTAGAAGGAATTTTTACTGTCAGTTTTATTAAAAAAGAGTGTAAAAAGTGGAGAGGTATAAAGGAAGTCATTTTCAGCTCATTTCCAATGATTATCACTTAATGCAATTTATTATCTCAATTACGAATGAATATCTGTAGTACTGGTACTTTGTTAATGTTAATATTTCTCTATACATTAGCGAAATGAACTCCATATATGAATTTGGAAGCTAGCACTTTTGTTTTTACAACTGTAAGCAGTAAAAACCATATTATGAAAGCATTGCAAAAGTTAGTGATGTGGAACTTTTCATAATTGTCATGCTAATTAGGAGTTCTAAATAAACCTAATCTAATAAGAGTGTTGGTGTTGTCTACTAATAGTGAGAGTAAACTTCAACGATTTCAGAAGCAATTTCGTTACTTCAAGTTTGCAGTAATTATGAAAGAAAAGTTTTTCTTTTCGAGATTACTTGCAGACTGAGTTCTGGCAGATAAACTACATGGGCAGCAAACTTGTGAAATAGACGATCAAACTACATAAATCAATTCTTTTTGGCAGGTGCTTGCTCTTACTTTTCTGCTCCTTCCTAACTGACTTGGCTTAAGACTTCAGAAATTTGGCAGTATTTTGAAGATTTTTGCTGAGATCTTAATTATGTGACAGGGTCCTGACATCATATTATTTATATTTTGTTCAGCTTGATCGAGACAAGAGCAAGATCATGCGGGCCTTTCATCTTGAACATGAGTTTTGCTTGCATTACGTGAGTTGAATTAGACTGTGCGTGAGTAAAACAAATTGTGCATGAGAAGGGAAATTTCCGAATATATTATACTTGAGTTCATTGTTTACAGCTTCGTGTATTTGCATCACTCAATGCATGAGTCATTTGACAATAATAAATGCTGAAAGTGATTCAAGTATTAGAACAGTAGGAATTAACAGAATAATTTTACTTAAATGCACGTCAATGAATCTGAAGTCGTTTAAAATTTATTGAAGTCCATTTGAGTTATTATTTCACTGCATCCGTAACTGTGTTCATGAGCTCTAAAATATTTGTTTCCTATAAGTTTCAGCTCTTCTTAACTTACGACAGGTCACTTCAGCATCCCAAAAAATGAATTTATATCAATATATTATCATTTTTGGGTTTTTGAGCTTGACTAAAAAAGCGACAGCGGAAAACGACTTATCTACAGAATACAATAATGTTGTAAGACTGATGAACATGCAAAATACTATCATCAATAATTTGCAGAGAGTGAGCTGTAATTATTCTGTTGAATATCTGAATACTCATATTTAGAACTCATTGTTGTTTTGCATCAAAAGTATTATTACTTATCTCGAAATCTATAAAGTCCAATTACTTTAGATCGGACTTTTTTGTGCGCAGTGTCTGCAGTCTTTCATGTTATGCATTAAAATATTCATTGAAAAAACTCCTTTATTTACTGCATTGAAGAATTCCAAAAAATTATGTATAGTAGCTTGATCAGTTGCTTTTATCATAAATATATACTTTAATAAATTAACAGCATGAATGATTACGTTTTTTAGCGATTAGATAAACTTCTTGAAGAACGGAATATGCGTGAGGAGAATGTGTATCGCCTGCAGAGTCAAGAAACAGGTGAAATAGTAACCTATTGCATTATATCAGTGCTTATTATCATATTATGAGTGAGTACATTATGTTTTAATCTCTTTGATATACATTTTTTTGATCAAATTTTGCCTTTTAAAAAGTCATTGCTTGAAGGAAAAAACAAATGTGAGTGCAATCCAGGACCGCCTGGACCTCGTGGACAGAAAGGAGAACCTGGACCAAGAGGACCTCGTGGACCATCAGGTACCAAGTAATAATTTTGAGTTGTCATGATAAGTTTAACCAAAAAATTTTCATTTAAAGCTTTTTTTGTTTTAAAAAGAAATATTTATAACTCTTGACTGCCATGAATATAAATTAGCATGGTAAATTTTTTGAGAATTAAATGTAATAATGGAGTAAAACTAATAAGAAACTTGACTTTTGTATCTTATCAGTGTTGTTTAATCAATGGATAAATTTGCAAGTAAACTGCTCATAAATAAAATAAAATTTGAGCAAACACCCCAGTATCGGTAGATTGCTTTAATTTCAGCACTACCAAGTGATGATGATAACATGTGCTTGGTGGTAGTAGGAAGATGTCCGAGAGGATTTTTACCAAATGCAAATTACGGCAATACTTTGCAAAGAATAATTAATGATCCACTCATTCAGGTGTGCTGCACATACTTGGTCCAAGCTGAATTGATATAATCAAGATTATATTTTGTTTTCGATATTTAAACACAAATCTTTGTACACAAATGTTGATTTACCAGTAAATACAATTAATATGTTGACTTTCGTTGCTCTGCGAATGTATAGGTCAAAATGTTATCCTCCATTCCAAGCATTAATTCTCTTATTATGAATGAGCACAATTACCAGCAAAGTGAAATATTTCTTACATTTTACATTGGAAAAAGTATTACTTTTAAATCCATAGATTTCTCCAAAAAAAAACAAATGTTAAGTAACCCAAATTTTGCACTATCTAACAAAATGAATAGAAGTTCAAATTGACTGGTCGCTGCTTCAACTGATTTCTGGAATTTTATTAAGGGAGAGATCATGATCATACATTCTGGGTATTATAGAAGGAAAGAAGTGAAAAAGTTAAAACATGCAAGCTGTCATAAATCAATCCAAAAGTATCATGATTTATGGTGAACTGTCATCTCGAGCCAGCGACCCAGGCAAGAAATTGTTCTATGCTTATTTCACCTCATCGCTAAGTTAGACTATTCTCAAGGCGAGTTTTGAAAAAGTGTCAGTAACGTGGCTTGTTTACTTTCTGCACATCACATTTCAACGTTAAATTTTTTCCTCCATGTACAATACCCACCAACTGACTTTAAAAAATCAACTTTTCAATTTCAAGAGCTATTTCTTATCACAACTCGCTATGACTAATATTTGATTTAATAATGAATGAAGAAATGAGTATTGACAGGATTTCTATTTACAAATCTATAATTGCTGAACTTTCCTACAATTAAATTGCTTTATTGCAACTGAATAACGAAGCAAACAATTAAAATTAAGTAGATAAGTACTGGATTAAAGGATTATCTTGAAGTGATAATTTTAAGGACAAAGAGTGATATTAAGACTATTGAAGTTATATAGTTCTCATGTATGTTAGTATAATCATGAACTATATCTATAAGATTCTAGTTTTGTTTCATTACATGAAGACAAAAAGCAATTTTAAAGATGACGTAAACTTTCATCCAATTACATGAATCTACATCTTTTCAGGCACTAATGTACATAGTTCACGATTCAAATTGGGACTACAAAGCATATGCTTGAAATTAATTAATTTCCCCTACTTCCTGCCCTCGTTATCTGCTTACAGTGTTCTTGCAGTGGTTCACTTCTCATTTCAGATTATTACTGTAATCATTACTTGGGTTAAAAAATGTAGAAGAAATTGAACTAGTTGCTAAAATGTCATTCATATTAAGATGGCTGTCACTGACGTTATTAGTGAAATGAATGATGTGGCCGCATAATATCTTGTTCTTTCTCTTTCTCTTTCTCTGCTTTTGTTCATTCTTACAAGTTATTTGGTACTGCCGGCAAAGATGGCCAGTTAAGGTAGATTGTTTACGCGGAGGGTTAAACAGATTTGTTTAGACTTTTTCTATATCCTTTCGCAAATCCCGTAATTAGTGAAAGGAATCTGTTGAGCTTAACGGTTGAGCCTTATATTGTGTGTTCGTAAACATATCAATAAGTACGTACATTAAATCGTTACAGTTAGATGTAAAGTAGGATGCTCAAAAAATGCAAATTGATTGTTCTTTAATATAACAAAAGGTTAAGGTTGAAACATTGAGGAAACAAAACGGATCACATGTTGCACCATAATTCATGTAATTAATTGGAAATGCTTGCTGATGAACTACCTGAAAAGTTACGGGATATCAGAGATGAACAGGACTTGCCACTGGCAGTTATCGTCACGAACGTCCCTAACGAGGTTTTCATCTCGCCTGATTCCTGGTTTTTTCTAATCCTTATTTCTCATAGCATCACTTTATTTTGATGTTCACTTCGTTTTGAGAACTTGAATTTCATTTTGAGATACTTTGCTTACCAAAAAGTTATCGTGCATTGTATAGCTAGTAAGTTCTATTTATTATTTGTCACCAAAACTAAGAAAGTCTTTAAAAAAGTACTTATAGAACCTGTTGCGTTTGGAAAAAGTTGGCTTACTGTCGCCATTATGAACAGATTATCCTTCCAGATTTGTCATAATAGAAAAATATGCGCAGAATTTGAAGAAATTAGAGCAAAGTGACTATTAGCCCTTTTATTCACTCTACGGGAGAAATTTACACTTGTAATTGTATTTTTAAATAAACAATAGGACTATAGGTACTCAGTTTGCTTGAAACTTTTATTTAACTTTAGCGTAACAGCTTCATTTAAGCTTTCTTTTAAGGCATTTTTGGATAAACAAAAGAAGGCCAACTTCTCCGCTCTGTTCACACAAATTGAACCCAGCTGTCGTTTCAATTTTTTGAAAAGTTTTCATCGAGTGAGAGTCACCTTTGAAAAGCCTGAAAACGCAGTTGCTGCAAAACTTCTTACACAGCATCTCTCATTCAATGGCACAACATTAAAATCATTTTTTGCTCAGGTAAAAAGCGTTGCGTTTTATAACATGGTATGTTATGTTCTACTAAGTCATTGATATTTGCTCCGTAGAGAGTTAGATGTTATCAGAGTTTTATATTGAATGTTTTTCATTAAAAGTATCCTTTATAATAAACTTTGTTATCAGTAAAAATACTGTTTTATTTGACAGTGCTGTGCTGCAGGTAATCGTGTCTTTTGTCTACCATTATTCATGCAGCTAGCGTCTCTGAGAACTAATCAAAAATTCCTCAAATATGCACTTATGTTGCAGTGCTTGTCTTTGCAACCAAAAATCTTTTAGAAAATGGTTTCTTGAGAGTTATAGTAATTTTCCATATTTCTGTTAAATGATTTCAGAAGGCCCGTTTGCGTAAACCTCCTGATGATGGATTGTTAAAATTACCTCCATTGGAGAAGCAGTTTTTAATTTCTCCTCCAGCTTCACCACCGGTAGGTTGGGAACAAAGTCGTGAAATGGCTCCGATTGTTTGCAATTTTGATCTGATGGCTAAACTTGCTGCACTCTCCGTTGAAGATACCTTTGAGGTCATTATTCGTTTATTTTTAAACATGGGGTGGTTGATACATATCATTCCTTTTTTGGAAATAAATGCACTTTTTAACACATTTTTGATAAAGTTGGAAGTAATATACATTCATAGGTTTATGAAGGAGATGAAAATAAACCGAAAATAGTGGTGCATCCTGCGAACGAAAGAGAAAATGATGTGTTACCTGCACAGTCACTAATGCCTAGAACTCCTCGACCACCAAGTTTGTCTAAGCTAAGATGAAGAAAGTGCACATAAAGTAGACCCTTCTCCCTAGTCCGTTCATTCAACCATTTTCTCATTAAACTAGCCTATTACTGTGCTCGCACGATATCTTCAGTCAAGAACATCAGCAGGAAAGGTGATCTCATTTGTTGCTCCGTAACTGGCAACTTTATTGGGCAAATCATTATTACATGGTACTGTTCAAGAATCTGATGTCAAGACGTACTCTTATAGAAATTACTACATCCTTAGCCACTTCTTGTAACGAATAATCCAGTTTAATTCTGTCCTTTTGCTTGCATATTCTTATATTTTGGCTTTTGGTAACCTACCAATTCTAATTGTCTTGGCTACTCTTTCTAGGAAATTCTAGCATTTGCACACTTCAGTAAATGTAGTTAACTATTTTTTTTTAATCATAGATATTATTGCGCCGTGCTATATGGCAGGATAATACAACGGTTCTGAATATATGTGAAACACTATGATTACTGTCAGCGTCCAAAGAGTTCTTTGCTTGAGAAATGCATTTATTTTGAGAAAATATTTTTCTTTTAATGTTGGGAATACTAAATGTAGTTGAGAGCTTGCATTAATGAAAGACAGTAAAGAACATGGAAAACTATACATTTTAATTCATACACTTTAAGTTATGAAGCGGCGTAATGGATGATGACAACTGCAACAAGTACGATTATGAAAATTTTCTTGAAAGTACCTTTGGTGCTTAGTCTGTTTAGTACTTAGATGTTGCTAGTTTAAGACTTAAACTTTATTGCAGAACAGCGTCATTGAAGTTTACATTTGCAACCATTTTTTTGATTACAATACAAACTTCAAATATTCCGAGTTAAATTACTCTTATAATGTTTGACTTTTCCTGACCGTGATTCTCGTCTGTAAGACGTTATAGTTCGACTCCAGCTTGAACGATTCTTACTATACAGATTAAGTTGAATAGCTATTATTATTAATATACCACCCCAAAGATACTGAATTGTGAACGGTTTAGAGAAGAAGATAAATGATATAATGATTGAAACTGCTTTCCGAACCGTGGTTACCGTAACGGCTATAAGTGCTCCTTGGGTTCTTACTAAACTCAATACTGTATTTAAACCAAGATAACCAGATATGGAAAACAATATGCTGTAACCATAGATTAATAGTGGTTGCTGAAACGATATGTAATTAGCATGGCTATATGGTTTCAGAGTTTGCATTTGGATTTGAATTTGTTACAAAATCATAGACAAGAAACCATGGTGTATGTCCAACGTCGGGCAAAATACCTTGATTAAATGTATTAAGAATTAGTAGGGACTATACTGGCATGATGCATCAAATCTGAAGCATATCGTCCAGTGCATTTGTTAGCAAAATATCTCATCTTTTCCGAATGTCTGACATTTACTGTGAGTAGAAAGCAAAAAATTTGAATTTTTTCATGCATATTGAATTTTGACAGTGCTTTCTGAAATATTAAGAATCGGATAAGTAGAAAGAGATTACCTTCGAAAAGAAAATGAATCCATCTGAAAAGTTTCCGTATAAAAACAACCCAAGGAAAATGTATACGGATCCAATGAAGTAAGAATATAAGATCTAAAATGCAAAACAAATTAAGGATCAAATAACTAACGTCTCGATTCAATAAAGAACTCAAGGATGATTTATTGCTTGGCTTCCGTTAATTTTCTAGTGTACTTTAGTCAGAAGTAATTGAAATCATTCCATGGTAATAAGGCATAAGTGGTCAGAAGAAAAAAAGCAAACCATTTCATTATTAGTAGCCTTGTATGTGCGTAAGGTTTTCTCTTGAATATTACCAATCACAGCATCGAAAACTAAAGCAACTGATAACATCGTATACCCGAAAGGATCAAACATAGGAGATACCTTACTATCCCCTAGAATGAAAACAGCAAGACCAAAGCTCATTACACAAGCTGCTACAAAATCGATCCACGAATATTGTTTATCTAGAAAATTAATGATGCAAGGATTAAAAATGCGTAATTTTCTAGTCGTCCGACACACTTTGTAGAACAATCTCACTGAGGCAAAGTACAGTAAAATAAAAAAGATGAAATTGACTTTGAATAATTATTCCTCCAATTAAAACAGGCACCAATTTGCAGCACTTAAAGATTACTTGCGTTGGGTAGTTTAAATAACTAACAGCAACATTTGAAAATCCGATAGTGCCAACCGTAAAGGCAGCTAGTTGCAAATAAATATTTATCGGGATTCTGAAATAATATCAATTTATGAATTTTGTTGAAACTTTAATGTCATAGAAAATAAATACTTTTATTTGCTTCCGTAAATTTTCTTCATGAAGTTCTTGTTTAAACAGGAAAGAAATTACCGTCTAGAACTGCCTCCATAGCATAAATTCTCAAAATAACTTAATAAAGAACAAATAAAAAACTGAATTAGTGTCAGATGCCATCCATATGACTGCATCCCATCGAGTTTAAACATTAACTCCTGGAAATACCTATGACCACTTTTTGAAATAACACTTAATGACAAAGAGAGAAAATAAGAAAGTTTCAACTAAAAAACCTGAATGAAACCATAAGCAATGTAGAATATGAACACAGCGCAACACAACACAACGAACTGGAACTTCTTTGACCTCAAATAAACAAACCCCTATGTTTAAACTAGTACTGATTATCAATTATTAATAAAAACAGAAAAAAAAAACAAAATTTAAGCAACCACTCGAAAATCTATATCGCAATGACTTCTGCAAGCAGATATAAATTTAGTTTAAACAAAATCTAGGATGAAATCCACCTGGCAGTAAGATCAATTCCTGTGAATTTGATCCTTTCATCAGAGCACAATTCTTTCTGACGAAGTGGAACATTATCAACAATGGAGGGTAACAACTGCGCTTCAGCCATCACAAAATTCTTTTTGGTGTACAACAGCTGATTCGAATAAAATTCATCGCAGTCATCAACAAAAACTCAATTAATAGCAAAGGTGATTGAGCGTAATGGACAAAATTATGCAAATTACAGACAACGCAATATTGACTACATTTCACGGTTTTAAGTAACTATTGATAGGCAAAAGTTCAAATGACAGACCGTACAAAATCAAAACTGTTCACAATGTCGAACGTTATTTGGTCCAAGACTCTTTATTCAAACAGCAAACAAAAAAGAAAATCTGAATATTCGGTATGAAAATAAAATGAATAAATTCATGGCATGCAATTAATCAATTTAGTGACAAAATGAGTACAGCAAAACAGGCAGGAAGAGAGACCAAAATTGAAAAATCCTTCATAAAACAGAAAAGTTGTGAACCAAAAATCTTTTGCTCTTTCTATTTCACACTGTAATCAAAACCGAGAAATATAGAGGTGAAAATGCAAAATACTCCATCCCCTATGAAAGAATATAGCGAACACACTATTGAAATAATTCCAAGTCCTGATGAGGCTTCAAACAGTCTTTTCATTACGCATATATATTATGTATTCTCATTAGTGACGAACTACTGAATGGAGTGGCTCCTCGAATATATGTGGGAATGCTTTCAGACCAAACTTTTCACAGAGTCCTTTTTGTCCTGCGATGTATTCATCGCATGGACTTCATTGTGTCTTCTAGTAGTGTGATATAATACTTTTTTGCACTGCGTTGCTAGATGGTCTACCGTCTTCATACGTTCTCTACAGTGCTGACACATGCCTTTTTCAGCTCCAAACATATTTTTGTTCTGGAGTTATCATGCTTCATCTTGTGTGGTAATGTTTTCGTATCGTGGCCACATCATTGAATCAGCTAACTTATACTTGTATACCTTCCTCTTTCTTTAGCCATACAAGAGCGCCTTCTGGACTGCCAATACGTTTTTGACAGTTGTACTTTCTACGAAGTTGTATTTAGCCTTTAGATAGGGTACAACAATTGCCAAGTACGTGTTATCAGCCTTCTCTTTCTTCGAAATCACTACTACTCTCTTGGTGGATATGGACGCGGTATCTATAAAAACATTACAAAGTTGAAGAAGCATAATCTTAATTCACTGTTCAACATTATGAAGTCCACGTGTCATGACACATTTTCCCGCATTGTGCTGTGATATAACATTTGTTCCTCTTGAAGGATATATATGCTTAAAAATTTTTCCATTAGGAAGACATGAATAGAAAACAAATCTAAACTGACATATGCAGTCAGTAAAAGTTGAAGCCTAAATTTCAAATTATGTTACAAACATAGGAAGTTACTACGAATTTCAAAATAGTTTCCCTAATCCATTTCATGATTTACAAGTCCCAACAGAAATCAAGCAATGAACATATGAACAAAATAAGATGAAAAATAGTTCCTTAGCAAAAGATATCCAATACAAATTCAAATAACGCTTTCATGCCCACACAGTCAGTACAGACTGATTTCACAATCTGCAAATTTGACTATCCACTTAGTATATACTGTGCTTTTTTTTACACAGAGGTACAAAGCAGATACAGGCTACACCAGTTATGACTTTATTCGCTAATATTATCAGGAATTGCATGAAGAAATCCAAAAAACTATAATCAACAAAATATACCATCACATACTATTCAAATGAAAGCTTTAAAAATATACATAGATGGACTGAAAAAGCAGACACACTAATTCTATACCAATACAAATAATACTGAATATTCATTACTCTAATAGTAAGACTCTGAACCTCTGACTCTACCAGTTCTCATCATACCATTGCTAAAAAAAGTTGTTCATTTGCATTTCTTTAAGACATCCTAATAATTTACCCCAGTTTGAATATACGTTTGCCAATAAAATCACATTTTATGTTCGACTGATTAAATAATATGCAGCTGGATTACTTAATATCCTTAATTAAATCGCTTTCACGCAAAATTTTTTAAGTTGATTTCATGTAGATTCAATATTGTTTATCCAAAATAAATCGCAAAATATCACTGTGATTTAATTTAGATAATTCAGATGAAAGATATTGAATTAAAGAAGTTTTTTGGTTGTGCTATAAGAACAATGAGCTCTTATTCTTCGTTCTGATATTCCACCACGCCAAATGTCACCAACAACTTTGCAGTACTGGCGTTGTACTGCGAGAAATGATAACTGTCGTAGTGTTGGTGGTTCAAGAGGAACAAAAGCCACACCTGTCGAACATATGAATACAAACTGAGTTTTTGTACAGACCTGTAACAATCGATACTTGAATTTAGAGTCTTATGAACACAGTTTTCCTTCATTTGAGTGTTTCCATATCTTTCAGTAACTTATAGTTCAATAAAGTTAAAGACAGGAAATCGTAGTTTCATTTTCTAACAGTACTAAATCTAAGATGTTTATTTTTCTCAACGACAGTTAAAGTATTCACTTCATGAAAAGCTCCGACCCCAAAATTTATGATTTTATCAAAAGTATTAATGGAAAGTACTCCGTAAAACCGCTGCTGAATATGTGTGGGAAGACGACATTTACCAGCCGGTACTATATGACAACATTTTAGTTCATCGTCGAACATGATGAAATAAAACGCATGAGATGCATCTCGAAAAATCTGTATGGAGAAGAAAATTACGGTCTGTATGGTTTTATGAAAAAATTAATAAGCTGAAGCAGCTAGAAACAAAGAACTACACAATGAAACTTTATTATAGTTTTTCTTTCTGTTTTTTAAAGCACCTGAATAACAAGAATTTGTACGTAATGCTCGAGGGCACACTTCAAAACACAAGTCATTTTTGTACTTTCAATCACTCAATCTTTGTCAAAACTTTCGTATTATATAGCAAGTTCGCATGTAAATAAACCAAAGTTTGAAATATGTGGAAGAATCTGGAGGAAATAAAAGCATGAATCAAATATTTAAAATTAAATGAATAAATAAACATACTTTAGCAATGCAAATGCCTTCACTGACGTAAAAAGTAAGTGGTGATTCTACAGCTCCCATTCGATGTACTACTTGTCCATATGTTTCTCTGACACCTTTAACCCGTAGCAAATTCAGCTAAAAACAACCGAAATACTTTCAATAAAAAGTTTTGTAAGTTCCTTGGCAATAGCTTTCAATACAGCAAAAAAAATAAAATGCCCAACTTGAATTTATTGAATGCACACGTAACTAATTTCATTAATCTATTTCTTTACTTTTTTTCAATAAACTTTGGAAAAAAGTTTTCGATGACAAATAGAATGTATGATCTGTAATTCAAGTCAAAGTCTTGATTCATTTAGTCCCTTACAAATTTGATATAAGAAACATAAACAATGATTTTAACTTGGCAAGAATATAGTCAACGGTCACGAAAGTAACAAGCTAATTAAAAGACTCACATCTGTATGAGTATTTGATGATGGTAGATAGGTATTCCAGGAATTACTTTCTCCACTATAAATTATAATATCATGGTTATCTCGTAGCTTAAAGACTTTTCTTTTATCACCATCTAGTACCATTGGAAAACGAGAACATTTTTCTTCATGCTCATCTGCAGCAATCGTTTCATTTATGATCACAAATGTCATGCTGTCCTGAAAAAATGCTTAGTGAAGAATTGAGGTTTTTTTAAAATCCCAGTGCTGTTATTTCAACTTAAAGACTGAGTTTGAATTAAAAAAAACCTCAAGAAGTGCAATTTTCCAGAATGGAATTGGCCCCATTACTACGCTCCTTTCATACATGTATAACTCTTGCTCTCCACATCCAAGTACTATGTTTTCTAAGTAAACTTTGTTTTCGAACTCATCTCCAGATACCGTATCAAGGTTGAAAATATCACACGAACTATTTTCTAAATTTATACGCAACAATGAAATACGTGGTACATCGCATTCCTGTAAAGCTCAATTTTCAATTTACTATAATATATTTTTCCAGTTCAATTTTTACTATAATGCATTCCAACAGTTCAAAGCAAATTAATCTACTAATAACAGAGATGATAAAAACGATAATTTGCGAATGTTATCCCATATAATCCTCAATTTAGAAAGTAAAAAGAACAAAATAGCCACCATATACAATCACGTTTTTAGCTAATTTTCTTCAACTCTTACAATTCCGAAAAGAACATTTATTACAAAACAAATTTATGGTTTGATTTGTTAAAGCGAAAATACATGTTTACGGTGCATTCAAAAACAAATATGATCACGCTCTTGTAAATGTTTCTTAATTCCTGATTTTTTTCGACAAATTTTGATATTCATTCTAAAGTGTAACTTACAAACAGTGCAACAACGAGGGCGTAGATGAAAGGCTCAGAAGGTGAGACAGCATAGAACGAGTAAAGGAGCTGAATGAGCGGTAAACTGAATAATTTTGACCAAGAATTAGGAATGAAAGAGTGTATCGACCATATTTCAATACGATCAGTGCAGCATGGTGTGACGTAAAGAAAATTACCAAAAAAGCCAATTTTCATCAGCCGATATTTGCGCAATTCAGGGGCAATCTCAAAAATACGCATCGTGTCATCAGTTCAGCACTGCGTAATCTAGAATATAGTGTAAAATTAACGAAATTGGATTAACAAAACCGTCTCTTCATACAATATAAGATTTATTCTTTGCGTCTTATAAGCACAGAAAACTATGCTTGGAAGCACTGGACTGATTCTAGATTTAAGGTACTAAGCGGCGGAATTACAAGTGGTAAAGTGACGTGCTGATTATGGGAAAAAATGTATTTATTAATATCATATAAAACATGTTCCAAAGTTTATAATCCCGTGCAAGAATCACAATGTTATATCTATATTTCTTTCTCTGATTGCAAATACAAGATGTGAGATTTGCTTTGATTAAATTAAGTTTTTTTATTAAATGCTCGCAGACTACCGAAAATCATTCTGAAAATCTGAATAAGCAACAGCAATCAAAAACGAGTATGTCTCCAATTACAGAAGCTCAACGATTCTCATAGAAAATCTATGGCTAATATTGCATAGAATACTTATTCATACAAACAGTATAATAATGAAATGTCACAGATACCACTGATAAAGGTATTTCAACTACAAATCCTACTACTACTATCTTCTATAATAAAAATTAGAATATTAATAATTATAATTAATAATAATGATAAAATAATATGTACAGGAATTCTCTCAAAAATGTTTAGCAATTGTGCATTAAAAAGATGAAACAAATAATAATCATTCACAAACTTTTCAGCTATTTCACACCACATTGAAACTACCTTACAATACTTGAAAATGCAGCATTAATGCTGAACATTTGGAAAAGAAATACGAAAAATAAAGTCAACTCCTGTTTCACAAAAAGCAGCACAAAATTACTACAGTCACTTCATTGAAAAATATCCTATTATTGCATAATTTTCATGTTAAATTTTACAATTTTAGATACCTATCTTTTACACTATTATGAATTTTTTACTGGCGAAATGTTCTCCAGATATAAAAATAAGTCACACTTTACTTGGTGTGATACAATGTGCACAAAGTATTACAATCTTTCCCTGATAGCTATAATTTTAGCGAAACGCTAAATCGAAATACCAGTGCAATTACAGATTTAATTTTAATCGCAAATACAATCAAATATAATCGGCCTATTATACCACCACTAATGACTCATTCACATCAAGATTTCAAAGAAGCCTTAAATTTGATCAATTTGAACTTCACGAAACATAAAAAGCTCAAAGAATGAAAATGCATCCATAACATTAATCAAATATTAAGGAAACCAAATAAAATACAAAGGAATGTAAAAGAATATGAATGTTTCATGAATATAAGAATTTTCTGATGAATTTACCCATCGCACTACCTACACATAAGAAATAGCATAAGATGTGATGGAAAAAACTCGAGCTTAATTTCTAGAAATTAGTGCGCATATGTTTCCCTTCAAGATCAATGAATCAAAATCGTAATCATCCTTCCTTCATATAATAAAATCAGAATAAGATTAACCTCAAAATCTCTGGCATTTAGTGCACCTACACGCGAAAGCTACGATCAAGTCAAGCAGAGATTTAGTGAGAATTGAGAGATTAGCCAAAAGTGCACTAAATGACAACAGCTTTGTTTCACTGCGTTGAACAGAGCAGTGAGCTTATGCTTTTGCAGCTTCATAACATATCTGTAGAAATCGCGCCCATATCTATCAGGAAAGATACGTACTTAGCAATTATTGTGTCCTATCATCAGACTAATTACAGCTTCGTAAAAAATCCAACCATTGAAAACGCATTAGCAGCATAGAAAGTGCTGTATAGCGAAATAGAGAAAATTCATACGCAAAGTTGTTCAATATGCGTAGTAATGAGCCAGGACTCAATCTTCAGATTTATCAACATGATTACGATTTGGAAAGAAGATGAAGCTCGACAATGTTACGTTCAAGATAGAAATATGTTTAGAACTGAGAAAGGAATGAGCCCACAGTGTAGGGAACGTGTGAAGACGGTGGACCATCTAGCAACGCAGTGCAAAAAAATGTTATACCACAGCAATATTAAAAGACAAAATAAGGTTTTGCGATGTATTCATTTAGGATTCTGCAAAAAGTATGGTCTAAAAGCACATCCACGCATGAGAGACCATTCTGTTTAGGAAATCGTCGCTAGTGAGAACGTAGTGATAAGAGTTAACACGCGAGTAAGAACAGCGAATAGAATAAAGGCAGATTGACCGGGGAGAACATAAGAAGTGACATGGGGTACTCCTAATAAAAGTTGGTGTCATTGGTCAGATTGATAGTAGTCAAAACTGAGAAGTGAAAGTGTGATATATTCTCTAATAAGCTCGGGTCAAACGTGACGAAAAATATTAATTCCGTATGTAGTGACTGAGGATGTGATTGCAACGAATTTCTTACGAACGTTACGCTAGAGAGATCACTATATTCGAATTCGATTATTTCGAGACATATGTCCGAACGATAGTGTTCGAGAAAACGCTCAGAAGCATCGTATTTGATCGCTGCTGTGGATTCAATGACGAAGAAGCAGTGAAGACTAGTGCGGCAGAACTGGTCGCGGGGCAAGCGTAGCAGGAATACTGTAATACGACCCAGCGTCAGAATCAATAACGAAGAAAAGAAAAGTAACCTCCATGTGATAATGATTAATATATATATATATAATACATAAATGATAACACTAATAAGAACGTGGCGAGAAAAACTTAAGGAAACAAATATGCCCCTCCCCCTTTCCCCCCTCTGAGCATTCCATATATACATTATATATACATTAATCGGCAATACGTGCCTTTGTTTTTTCTTTAAAAAAATCCATTTCCAAATGAGATATACATCTTTTGGTTTAAATTTAAATTCTTATGAAATGAATTTGATCTTCAGAAACTTCAGAAAATTAATTGAAACAATATTAAGACAATTTGTCTTGCTCTAATTTCAAAAGTGAGCTTACGATCACGAAAAGAATTTATTAAAATGAATGCTAAGAAAAACAAAAATTTTCGAAACAAAGAAAAGATGACTAACTTTTAAAATATTACTTTAGTGAATATTCCTTAAACTCTTATTCAAAATGCAATGAGACAGGATATGAAGTAAAAAAAGTTTCCGTGAAACACTTTCTTTTAATGCAGCTATTCGTTTAGATGCGCAACATCTTTTTCACTGAAAAATATCAAACGTATTTGCGAAAGAGTAATATTATTTCGTCAAAATATTAAACCATTTATACTTACTTTCTATCAACTAGAGTGAAAAAACTACAGAGCGATAAAATCAAAAAAGCACCGAAAATACAGATAACTAATAAAAAAGGAAGTAACGTACCGCTTGATACATTTGAAATGAAGTTTTGGAGCACACGTATCATCCGTAGAGATATGAGCTATTTCATTTCGATAAGAAAGATATAAGTTCATCATCTGAGAATCTTGTGGCTATAATGGAACTTTTGCACAAGACAAAATTAAATAGTAAGCAGCAAACTCATGATCAATCACAATTAGAGTCAAAAAATTATTGAATAATTAAGAGACCTGATTAAAACGCTGAAAATTTTGCTTAGACTTCTTAATTCACAAGAGTATCAAAGTTGAAAAAAGGATATTCATGTAGAATAAACCTTATAAAGAAGTTGAGGTAGGAGATTGCAAGCTCTCATATTGTTCCCAGTGTAAGCAATACATTTCAACTGCCAATCGCCAACTTCTTCATTCCATATTACGAAACGTTCAATGAGTTCTAGGAATTCAGCTGGTACATAATTTTCTGGAAAAAAGAAATGTGAGCACTGAACCACCGGAAAAGTACAACCGTATTACACAACAAAATTATGACCAGAAAAAACTGAGAAGCGGGTACAGAAAATAATAATAATAAACGAGATGGTTGACATTATATGACAAAAGAGTGGGACAAGTTTTTTCTATAAAAAATAATGTTTAAAACCCTTGAGCCACAAAATAAAGGTATCGAATATTTGAAATGATTCAAATTTCAAATAACAAAGTTTATTTCGTGATTTTTATGAGTTAATTTCACAACCATCCCTGATAATTTTCATTATGAATAAATAAATAAATAGATAAAACAAGTTTTGTTTTCCATAAAAATAAAAATTATATATATATATATATTCGCATAGCGTTTGTGGAAGTTCATTACAATCCAATCATTCAATCGTCAACACATACGTAATATTTTAGTCTTGCATTTCTTCCCTGACTCAAGTTTATTAGCAAGAAGGTACTATTTTCTCTTTTTCTCGGTCTTGACTGCTGTTAACCTGTCCTGACTACTGATGTGAACCTCTATCAGGATTACTTCACGTCGCTTCTTATCATGTATTATGATATCCAGTCGGTCCACTTTTATTCCGATCGCAGTTCTCACTTCCGTATCGACTCTGATCTATATGCTTTTATTTGCGACGATCTCCTCAATAAAATGGCTTCGCATGCGTGGGAATGCTTTCAGACCATATTTTTTGCAGAATTTCAAATGGATACATAGCAGGACCTCATTTTTGAATCAAGAGTCCGTACTAACTGCTTTGATAATACATTAATTGATCATCCTCTTTAATCAATTCATCAATACTTGGCATGAAAATTCTTAATTAAGCTTTAATCAAAATAACAACCAATAACAAGAAGTTGCAGAAGAAGTTCGCTACGAAGTTGACGAACACTATCCAAAAGACCTTCCATTTCTCGTTGGTGTTCCATTTGCAGATCTGCTAACTCACTTTTAGCAGCATTCAGCAAACTCCACACTTTTTTCAATTTTCTTGTCTTTCCTAGTGCCTCTTCAGCTAGATTATTGTATTTTTCTTCCAAGTCAATCCTTAACAGTAACAATTATAAAATATGATCTTATATTAATTAATTAAATCCCAACTGCTTTTGTGTTATTTAAACATTCCTTATAACATTCTGTCGACTACGTCTTTTTACACCTACTCAACCCAAAAAGTGTCGAATTTCCAACAAACATCAAACACTGTTAAAAAAATAATCTTTAAAATTCAAATTATGTGTAATACAAAAAAATTTAAACCTTTCCTGATTCTTTTCTGCTAGTGCTTGCTTCAAATGAGACTCATTTGCAAGTCCTCGTTCCAAGTCAATGTTACTCTGTTCTAGTAAACGTGCATGTTTCTCAGCCTTTTCAAGCATATTATCGCCACCAACAATAAGCTTTGTTTCAATCTGTCTGAGTTTAATCAGTAATTTATCATGATTATAACGTGCTCGAGTCAATTCTTCCTGAAATTCTATTCTAATTACAATGTACTTTTTAATGTAATTGACGAAAGTAAAACTACGCAAACAAATGAGTCTCGATTTCTAAACTTTCAACACATTTTAGTTTGTATAAATTCAAAAACTTTCCTTCGTCAGTAGTTAACAAACTTGTGATAGAGACAATCAAAACAACTGAATCTTTTACCATAACTTTATAAGTTACAATAGTATATTGTGATGTGTAATGCATTTTTTGTGCAATACTGAATTATCTGACTGCCAATTTTTGAACCAAAAATGATGCACCTCTTTCGCTCGGAGTTCAGCAACTAACATTTCACGTTCTTCATCAGCTACTCCGGCTTGTTTCTGCAACTCATTTCTTCTAATTTCAACAGTCCTTTCCAGTTTATTAATATGACCATTATATCGCTTTTTTTGCTGCTTCCAGAGCTCATGTCGACATGACTGCTTTATCTCTTTCTCTCTGCTGCAACTTGATTCTTCTGAAATATGTACTCAGGATGAAAAATAATGCAGTCATACTTGAAAAACTCATGATAACAGATGTTTTGAAATTTAAATATTTAGAAAAAATACTGAATGAAACAATTATCAAACTTACCATCTTGCAACAACCGTTTAAGATACTCAATTTCAAGTTGGAATTTCCGTAAAAGCGCATCTTTTGGATCTTCATTAATTCGTGCGATATTCTGTATACTTTTGGCCCGATTAGCATATCGCAAAGTAGAAACTGTCTCATCGTAGTTATAAGAAGCAGGACCAATATTGGCGAACTGAAATAACGTGCTTCTGAAAATTTATAGACTAGAAAAAATTTTTGCGTACATCTTCAAACTTTGAGACGTCTTTTCTCAGTTCAATAAAGTTAATTTTCATAACTTTGCACCGCTGTCAGCCTTTAAGACATAAATGTATCAAAATACAAAGATTTAACAATTATTAACCATAATAGTCTTAGAATTTCCACCCAGTGAGTCTTGAAGCAATCGCGTGAGTTTAGAATTTCGATAAGGAATATATGTTGTTTTGGAATCAACCAATGCACTAATCACATTTCCAAGTGAAGAGAGAGACAAATTAATCCGAGCTGCTTCTTTTAGCTGACTACCTGTAGCCCCAGTTTTCGACTGTCTTTCACTACCCTCAAACATGCATAATAATTTGTTTTTAGAAAACCAAACTCAAGATGACTGGCTCATAAATCTATGGTACATTCAAACATGCTTTATCATAAAAGTGATGAAATATAAAAAACTCAAGAGCCAAGATACCATTAAAGCTTTTGCCGAAAATGATTTGTAACTGAATATTACAAAATTTAAAACTAATAATTTTGATGGAAAAGACTTACAGCTAAGTCAACAAGCTGTAATTTTCCTTGAGTGATATGGCAATGACTGCCAATTTTTTCACTGCATTCAACTGTTACCAAGAAAAGGGTGTGAGAACGTGAACTATCTGCATTCATCTTTGTTGCAGTAGTTGATCTAAATCAAGATGGTTGCAGCAAAGATTTGAGCTAAATGATGAATTTCATTCAAAAAATATTAGTCTAGTAAAATATAACTAAACTTGTTAAGTTTGATTTTACTAACTGATAATGCTAGATTTCACAAAAAAAAGTGTCATGCCGATTTCTATTTCCAAACTTCATGATCCGTTCCATATGATCTGCACCTGATACAGTGATACTTGATAGATCTTTCACATAAACACCAATATCTGGTCGTTCCTGTCGTGAATCGAATTATGCATGTGAATGGCAAAAGTAATCTAACTTTCAAGAAAAATTGAAAATGTAACAGCCAAATAAAGACTCAATCAGAGAAAAGCGCCATTTTAAACCACCGTAATTTTATGGTAGCGCTATAAAGAAAAGATTACAACGACAATGTAGAAAGGATTGTAAACTCGCTTTAAAAAATTTTGAAATCTTTTTAATTCCAGTGGTAAAAACAATTATACAATTATTATATTGATGAGAAAAATTAATTATTGCTATTACAATGGCAGCACTCTATAACATGATATCCTTTTTACCTTAATTTCAAGACAATGACTTGGAGTTTTGGACAGCAAATCATGTATCTCCTCACTGTAAACTTCCAAATAAGAAACTCGGACGAGAAATGTTTTATCTTGTTGGCATTTTGCTATGTAGTCAAAAATGTGAGCAAACGAATTAGGAATTATTCCAGGTGAATTCTCTTTTCCACACATTGTAAAAGTCTTCCCAGTGCCAGTTTGTCCATATGCAAGAATGGTGCCTAAATGATAGGAAGAAACGCAAGCTGGAACAGATATTAAATTCGTTCCTACTTTCTTTTTACAATTTTGAGTAAGTAAGCCATAGATGCACTAATACTGGAAATGTTATCAAAATAAGGACTTTTAATAACTTAAAAAATGTGAATATTTAATAAATTGATGAGACAAAAGTTAAATGTTACAAAATTCCATTGAAGCCAGTAACAAATAATAATTCTAACCATTATATCCTTGTAAGACATTATCAACAATGGGCCTCGCAGCGATGTTATAGACACTAAGTTGATCGCTGACTTCATCAAACACAGCATCAAAGTAGAACAAACGAGCAGGTTCATGAAAAACATGTTGACTAGTTAAAGAGGAATACATTTAACTGCAATAACAGAATTAAAATTGCTACGCATACTAAAACGACTCACAGTTTCTACTGCATTAAAATAAATACTGAAATAATAAATTCGTTTCGCCTATGCATATCCTGACACCTTATATCAATACAGCCACCTTTGTAGGTACAAGCTTACTTCAACATTTTTTGGGTTGATGATCGAAACAGAATTAGTATTACAGTCAACTGATACGATATTCACATGATTCTGCAGACGTTCGACGTCACTCAAAGGTCTACATCGCACTACTACACGAACATTATCTGACACTTGGTCATCCATAAACTATAAACAAACCCTGCAACCATATTGCGATGTGTTTGACATTATACAGAAGTAAACTACGTGCGAAACTTCGAACACTCCTGTCTCTATAATAAGATGCAATGTAGGTGCATTTTAAATCTAGTGTACACTATGTAATCAGAAAGCCTAATCAGAATATTCAAAAATTTAGTATTTCTTCGTAATATCACTTTAACCGACTTTAAGTACAGTGATCACAACAATGATGTCAAGCCTGAGATTTCGTCCTCCCACTAGGTTCGAATAAATAAAAGAGCACTGCCAACATATGCGATTAGAGCAAATGCACGAAGAACTTTCTTTATCAGGCTCTCAAAAAATTTCAATGTAACTTCATTAAATAATTAAAGTAGATGACACTCACAAAAATATAGAGAACAAAGCACACAATAGAAAACTATCTTTAGGAGTAGCATTTAAATAACTTGATATGAAGCAAGTCCTTACATAACAAACACAAAGCAAAAGTACAAGACAAAAAACAGCAGCCCTTAATGATTTTAGATATCGTTATGTCACTACTATGTATCTGGTAACGGAAATGTCATATCTACATCTAAATTTTAAATAAAGCAACAAAAATATGACTCACAAAATATGCCAGTTTTCAAGCATTTACTCTCTTGATTATTCTTGCCATTCCAGTGACATATCTATGTATCATTTTATATATATACAAATTCAAAGCACTGCAAATTAAATTTGATGGCTGTAGTTGCTACACATGAAGAATCTTTAAAGTAAAATACAACATTCAAGAACTATGCAATAAGAGATCACATTAAAAATATTGGAGTACACGAACAAAGGAATGAACAGCGAAGTATTTCAATAAGTAAACCAGCTTTTTATATCAGAAACCGAATTTAAAAGCTGACTAAACATCAGAACATGTTAAAGATGCTGCATAACAAATACCGGGTATTAACTGCGAAAAAAGATTAATGGATTCGTTACTGAAGAATTACAACTGAGGCAAGCGCTAAAAATTAAGTCATCAGAGGCAGAGAAGAATACACAGTTTGTCATTTAAAATTACAGAGGCATATCAATAAAGAGGATTTTAAACATCTACAAAAAGTAATGCAGAATAAAATACGAATTACAGTAATACAGCCAGAAAATTATCGAATCAGTGTTGGTTCTGCAACATAATTCACAGCATTGATCACAAAATCAAGCAATCGACGGGCATACTGCAAAAAACTGTACATGAAGTACTAAATCACCCAATCAATTCATATCCAATGCAAAAATTATAAGTTTTTGTAGACTTAGTGGATTAAGATGACAGACGTAAATATAAGTCCTATATTTTGTTACCTATTATATAAATCTTGAGCGAAGAATTTCACGACGAAATTTAATTGTTAACGATAATAATAACAAAAATAATTATAAATAATAAATAAATGATAAATCGCAACAATACTAATAATAATAATTGTCATTACTATTATCATCACCATATTGATATTAATATTATCATCAGACCAATTATCTGATGACTGACAACTTCCACTTCATAGGCGGCTTCCAACAAGCAAAAAGAAGAAATGAACTATAACGTTTATACTCATACAACCAACTTCTTGTTGCATACTTATGTTGGGACGAAAAAAGAAGAAAAGGTAAATAAGAGAGATACGCATGAGATAGGTAAAAGAATGACTACTGCTGAAAAAAAAATCGGAAACGTTACAGTAGAAAAATGATGTGCTGATTTTCAGCAAAAATATAAAAAGTCTGACAAAGAAACGGAAAATGAGTGAAGAAAACTGGCATCATAACAGAAAACAAAAAAATTTGTTTTCATTGTTTTCTATTATGACATTGAAATGCGCTCGATACTATTAATCACGAATATCTGATTATGGATTGGAAGGCTTACATTCCAGTGTCTTTTGTTTTCTGACAAGTATCACATCCATGTGTCAGCTGCACTAAAAGGCAATACAGAAATTATAATGGAGAAGAAGATACAACAAGCAATTCTTCGAGGTGATAAGCTCTCTGCGCTGTCATTCATTTCGTACATGGAACCGTTGAGCCGTCAAGAGCAACAAGAAGACTTCAAAGCCTTATATATATCAGACAGTTTATAAATAAAGTACAGAACACATAACCAACTTGCATGCTTAGAGAGACTGTACCTACCAAAGTATTGAACAGAAAAGTAAGCATATGCTTTTCCAAGTTCATAATTTTCTCGTAGATACCGCATCTATATCGACCAGGAGGGCTGCAATTTTGAAGCAGGAAAAAGCTCATCAATTATGGACCCTATTTAAAAACTAGACACAACCTCGTAAAAAAATCAACCGTCAAAAACGTATGAGCGTCCAAAAACTTTTACAAAAAAGTAAAGAAGCTATACAAGATGCAGATGTATAAGCTATTTCAACGGTTGATTCACTAATGTGGCTGCAATATGGAAACACTACCACACAAGATGAAGCATGATATCACCAAAACAAAAATACGTTTGATGGTGAGAAATGTAAGTGCAAACATTGTAGGGAACATGTACAAACGGTGGCCATCTAGCCCCACAATGCGAGAAAATGTTATATCACGACTATACCAAGAAACACAATGAGGTCTTGCAATGCATTCATTTGAGACTTTGCACAAATAATGGTCTGAAAACAATCCCACGCATGCGGAGTCGATAAGAACAGATCGATCGATTCGGATCGACCAGATAAAAGATCCACGACACGAAGCAACATGAAATGATCCTGATAAAGGTTGGCATCATAAGTTAAAATAGGTTGATAACAGTTAAGACCGAAAAAGGACGAAAGTATGACATAGTCGTTAATAAACCCGAGTCAGAAATGTAATACAAGGAGATCATTATATCTCATCACGTTGAGACACATATTCAATCGGTAGTGGTCAAGCAGACGTTCGGAAGCATCATCTATTCGATCACCGTCATAGATTCGACGAAGACAGAGCAGCGAAGATCAGCATGCTGCTATCAACTAGAAACTAGTCACGAGCGAATGCAGCGTCAAAATCAATAATGCAGCGAAAAAAAATGACCTCCCATGTCCCAATTATAATTATCAGCATTATTAATACTAGCAGTAAAATACCAAAAATAAATATAAAAAATTATAATGTAACAATGCTAATAGTGTTAACAGTAATAAAGGAATTCATATTTCAGGCTATTAATAATGGGAACTAATAATGACAATTTCAATCTGAAGTTCTTTTAGCATAGACTGGTGATCTAAAATTTTCTTGTTTCTTATGTCTACTTTTGACATTGCATATTTAAGAGAAATTCGTACCTGATCAGGTTTAACCGTCGATATATTATCGGCATCAGAGCCATACTTTACAGCTTTAGCAGCTGAGGCAGTTTTCTTTTTCACTCCATAATAAGTGAGTATGTCGACGAGACCAATAAAATATATTAAGCGTTTATCGCTTTCTAAAAATTACATATTAATTGATACTCAAAATTTCGAAGAAATTGCACGAGGGTGATAATAAGAACTTCAAAATTGTTAGCACTTCACACAACTTTTTTACGTATTCATAGTAAAATAAGAAACGAATATCTCATAGCAATATTTAGACATCAGAAATAACCGAGTACAATTAATTAATTCTAAAAGTAAATTTATTGACTTCGCAATTATCTATGATAATTACAAAAAAACTTGCTGACGTTATGATTTGATATTGTTTGAGCTATTTGAGGAAGTTGCAGCCCACAAAAATATAAAGAGTTGTAACGAAACCTGGACTACTAGGTATAGCATAGAACTCATCATCAAGATCAGGTCCACCAGACAGAATCGGTGCAAATGCACCGGTTGAAGGAAGTGGTGAATCTGGTGGTGTAGGGGCAAGTTCATCTCCGGAGTTTTCCCCTTCAGATGGTTCAGCAGCTAGCTGATGAGCTGCAGTGTCCTGTTCACCTCTAACAAGATCATGAATTCCTAAATCATAAATTTGTTTGAATTGAGTATAAATAAATAATATATGTTAATTAACAATGAGGAACTTATTTAAAATATAAGGAAGAAAAAACTGACCAACAAGCAGTGAATAGTCCATCAAGTGCATTCTTGCTAAGAACTCAGTATCATCTCGCAACATTGAAACCAGTTTTTCACGTGCATCTGCCGGTAGCACTAATTTATACTTATCTTCCAAAAAATCATTATCCTAAATCAAGCAAATTTTCGTAGCACACGAACAAATAAAAAGATATAACAATCAGTAAAAAAAATGCCTGACTTTAAGTGTCGGTAATTCTTTCGCTTTCTCTTTGTCAGTTGCCTGTCGCTGGACAGTTGATCCCTGTAAACCCTATATGTAATAAGTGATGCTCTCATTGCCGTTTCAAAATCATTTTAATAACGCTTGTAATCATACCATCAAATCTATGTTTCTTAAAACCTAAACATATGATTCATTATTTAAGCAATTTATCGACAATATTCTCGGTTCAAATAATTTTCCGATGATGCAAACACTGAGAAAGATTTTTTCAATGTAAGATAAGTATCACAATGGCTTCTAACAATTTTTGTTCTAACACAATCATTTGCTTATTTGCAATATAAGAGTCGATATGGAGAGAAAAATTTTTCCTTCATATACCTTTAAATCATATTTACGATGTACCATATATTTTCGACCAAGAATATTACGCATAACAATGAAGTACGTTTCACTGCCATCAACAGTAAGACGATATAAACCCAGAAATTGTGGCAATAATGTTTTTCCGTGTTTTTCTACCACATACTGAAATAATAGTGAAAATTTTAAGGTAAGTTCGAATTTTTAAGGTAAAATAACTAACCGCTTGAAAACCAATTTAAAATTAATTTTCATGTGATACCAAAAAGACTGGTTTCCAAGATAAAGTTGTTTTCGAGCGCAAAAACTCATAGCACCTCATGATAGGATCGAAGTATAGAATGCAGTTCAGCAACTGCTTCAGAATCCATTGATTTTATTACAAATTTCTTATCATAAGAAACAAACAAACGTGGTCCACTCTTATCAACCTGATCTAACTCCGGCTCTGGTTCACCATATGTAAGCGATCGCTGTAAAAATATATCAAAATTTTGCAGAATATGAGAAAAAATGATGAACAATTTAAAAAAGATATGATAACTTGCAATTTTCAATATCCAAATTTTCATTTATACCTCATAATGATTATATAAGCAAATTTTATAGATGTTAATAATTAATACTGTTAAGTAAATTCTTAAAAACGAAGTTAATAAAAAATAGCCACACCAAATACTCGTTCTGATCAACACCGAAATGCTCACGAAGATTTCGGAATACGTTAGGACAATAATCTTTAATTTTGAAATGACTCGGCATATTATCTCTAAAATAAATGAATTCCATTTTAGCATTAATAAAAACATCAACAATAAGGGTGCTACCCTAGTTATTGAAAATTTTGTTACACAGAAATTAAAAACAAGGTACTGTATTCATAAAATCCATTTTTTCAATGCCAAGAAGGCAATGCATTCTAGAATAATCATAAACTTTATGAGATTAAAAACAGAGAAAGAAGGAGATTGGAAAGAAAACTTACTTATTGAAAAAATGGTTATCGATTTTGATTTTAATGGAAGCTTTGAAATCATCGGGCATTAACAACCCTGGTGGAGGTACGTGCATTAATTCACTGATCTATAATTAAATCTAGTTTTTCATTTTTTAAAATTTACAACACTTAAACTTTGACAAATGCAAAAATAAGTCTTTGAAATTAATAAAGCTCCCCAAGTTATAGAACTTAATAAATCTATCGATATGGATCAATAACAGCTCTTTAAACATTTACAGTCAATTACTTCGAAACTATAGTATAATAGAAATTAGTTACTGAGTGGTTGACTCCCCACATGAAAACTGACAATAACGGTTCCTTTGCTCTGAATAATTTCCATTTAGGTACCAAAACCTTGCCTTTTCCCTTTTTAGCTTTGCGTGGTATTTTCTTCTTTGTGGACATCTACGAACACAATAGAACTGAAAATTGTTAAGTACATGTACAAGACAAATTCTCTTATTTGGCCTCCCATTTTTAAGGAATCCGATTTTTTAGCGCAAAAAAATACAGGAAAGCAGAAGCCAAGATTATAATCATACATGTTCAAAACAGAGAAACAGAAATAAGAGTGATAATCAGCCACTCAAACGTATGTACAATTCAAAATTCAATATACAATAACTACAAATCTACAGAATTGCACGCATTTCTTCATGAATGAATTGAAATTTTACTGCAGGTGATGAAAAAATTGAAAAAAGACATCGATAAAATCGAAAGAAAAGAAAAGTCTACTTTAATGAATTCATTTTACAATGAAAAAAGGTACACATTCTGAAATGCTCAAACGAAAGATGTATTTAATTGAAAACATGCTCGGACAACGGGGAAATCACTTCACAAGATACAAGTCTCGTGAGTGAACAGTGTTCTCAAGTAATTGCTTGTCACTTTATAGCAGTACAAAGAGATAAGCTAATTAAGAATTCATGAGCCGTTTGTTTTGTCATCATATCAAATTCTCGCGAAGGATAACAAAAAAAGAATCACTCAATTATGCGAAATGGCATTTTGCAAATTACTGCTTGCATCAGTAACAAAGGAACAATAAAAAGCATCGAAAATTAAAATTGTGGAAACAAAATTACTGTGAAAAAATACTGTGCTGGCTACTTAATTATAAGCAGCACCAGGTACTGTTTTAATTTGCTTACCTTCTCATGGTTTACTTCATTTCAACAAGTGATACAATATCTTCTCAAAATAATGGCAGAAAAATGAAAACAAAAAAGTCTGCTTTTGCTCATCCATGCACAAGCCAACTTATTGCATTTTCGCATTAATAAATGTAGGATGGACAAAAGAATTGAAAATATGCAACTGCAATGATTGCTCACAACAAACATGCTAGTTATTGGACACCAATCTCAGTTTTGCATAAAAAAGCTTGCATACGTTACGTTAAACAGATCAATCCGATTTAGAAGTGATAAGTAAAAAGAAAATGGAAATAATAATGATATAATTAACCATCTTCGCAAATCACAATTCGCGATAAATGTTAAAGTTAATGACGAACACGTACATGATCTGGCTCTACTCTATTGCTTATTGGTGAGCAAAATTAGCTTTACCCTGACTGATATTATAACCTACGAAGAATATATTTGAACAGAATTATCTTCATTCTCATTTTGCTTTCACATCCTTAGAAGTTAGAAAACTGATAAACCAAAAATCATCCACAGAGTATACATCTAGACGGGTGTTCTTTACTAAGCCACTTTCTAATACAATTCGTCAAATGTCACCCCACTATCTACGTCTACGAACCACTTATTAAATCATTTACTCACTCACTGACTCACACAAATCACACACTACCTTCAACGTATCAACTCCGAATCCTTTCAGGCATTTTTATTTCACGAAGTTTACGCGGTCCGTTAGAAACGATATCCTCAATCTAATTATTGACGTGTCCTGGCATCGCTATTTATAGCGTTAGTCATTCAGATCTTGGGAACGTGAGTGAGCCATTATAAACTCTGATCTGATCGAGAGATATACTAATTATTTCATGTCATGCCGAAGATGCTATAGTCAGAATTCGTCTTTAGTTATTTGAGTCTTACTTGCCTATATCCCGTTTGCAAGCGTGATTCTATCCAACAATTATCGCAATTGAAACTACAACCACATCTCGAACTAGAGTTTGATAATTTTACTGATTGTGATATCTTTAACTTTTATCACTGATACAACAAAACGTCTGCAAAGTGAAAATTCCACAAACACAACACTGAGCGGAATAAATTGTTGACATTTGGAATCAGCATTGTAAATATATAGAAGAGCAAATGAATACAACATTTGGAATATATATGCCTCTGCCGGATCTTGGACCTTGCAGTACGCGGCTGCCCATCGCAGGCGGTAGCAGTACAGTATCAAGTTAACTGTGTATAGGCCAAAACAATATGATAAAAAAATAGAGTTCAGAAAATGATATAAATATTATACACATCGAACAATAGCGATACAGATTAAGATTTGGACTGAAGTTGCTAAATCATCACGACATGATGAGGGCTTCCAAGACGCGATGGTTGGAGCAGGGATACTGCAACCTTCGCTGAGTTTGATCGTCAGATGACTTCAGAGTTGGATCCATGTAGCGGTGCAATGACGTCAATAACATCTATGCCTGCACGTTAGAGATTATGGATCGCTGACACGGCTTAGTTCTGGCGACTGAGAACTTAGAATGGCGAGACAAAGTCCCTTTAACTTAGGTTGCTGTGTACGACTGACTCCGCCAGGATTAATATGTATACTTTGGATAGTATGTCGGTTATGGTTTTCCAAATGTCCAGTTTACCCAAACATATCGGCACATATGCATTTAAATTCCCGAAGGGCATGTGAATACAACACCTATTTACGCCCCGGTAGACACTAGACATTTGGGTTGGTATGGCTATCAATTAAGTCAAACATCCCAAGTACGACCTAATGCACTGAAATTCCAAGTGGCGATTTTGCCTGTTGATGTTAGTATGCTGCGATCAAATGCTATATGATTGTATGTGGCCGCATTCATTTCACTGATTCGTGCGTCCAGAACTACAGGTATACATACGTCACTGAAGTTCGTCTATAAACTATAGAAATAAACAATACTCATTGCAGAGATATGAAGAAGGACTATTTCGCCAATACAAGACCTGACGTATGCACGAGAATAATTACCAACCATATCTATACCATAGTTATTAGAGCTTATGAGAAACATTCAACATGTGAGTAAACGCATCATAAACCTCTCATTTTACAGTCAGCAGTGTAACAATCTACTACATCACTATAGTGAAAAACATGTATCAAAGTATGCAGTAACTGAGGAACTACAAAAACACTTGCTGTAATTAGCGAGGTTCTTTATCACAAATGCCAAACATGCAAACTTTAGGAACATGTCGAAAAAATTCTTCGAAATGAAAGAGGGGAACTCATGTCGAGAGTTAGTAATGCACAATGAAAAAGTCTTGATGACGCAGTCCTTCACATTCTGTACTCACTGCGCGTAGGCAGAAGTAGTAATCTTGAAAACATTGCAAAGCGAATACTTGCACAATCTGATTCATTCTAATAAAAATCACTTACAAGCTAATCCTTATGTGAAACATATTGAAAAATATAAGTCACTTTTTATGTTTAAAATTTCGAGGTTCTTTCCTACCACCAATTATTTCAAGCCTTTAGATTATATCAATGATAACAGTGCTAATTCATGCTTACACAATTTGGAAGTAATAAGTGAGAGTTAACTGACTGTATAACGGACTGGAAATAGTGGACAAGTTAATTATTTAAGGAAACAGTCACGTCATTTAATAATCAGCGTGTTTAATGTTACGACCTTAGACGTTACACTAAATAGTTAAAGAATCACTAAATTTGGATATCAATTGATATATACGGAAGAAACATCATTCTTGAGATGACTTCGCTGATCCAGCAAAATAGATTATCAGGAACAGTGCCAATGCCAACAACAAGATCGTAATCACTACCAGTATGCAAACCTTTTTCTGAAATACTGTTCGTTATGTTGACTTTAGTGGTATACTATCGCATGCTTTAAGAATTCTAAAATTTAACGAAGGCTAGCGTCTTCTACATGAAAACTTCTCTTTAAAGAATACAGAGTATCTTTCTCATAGCAATCAATTCACTATTTTAGTTGCACAATGATATATATTTGCCTGTCGGAAAAATGACCTTACTTTATCTTGCGATAAAACTTAATTCTGATATAACTTTGCAATTTATAATAAGATCTCATACATGAATTAATAAACCATACTTACACGATTACATCTTCTCTTAAAAAGAATTACCGTTTTTTTCAAGTTATAAATTTTGTCAACATTACCGATGTATATTTTTTGATGGATTTTACTGCACACTATTAAAGGTCTAAATAAGGTCAACTTTGATTTCTTTAAAATTAAACTGAAGTATAGAACTCACTACTTACAGTAGGAATCAGTAGTAATTGAAAATATCTGAAATTACTTTGAAATGAAAATCAAAGCAATGAGCAGTTTAATGGTACGTGCTACTATTTTTAACAATATTAATCAAGTACCAGCAACCTGCATGAATCCTTCTGCTTTTGAATGACGAAAATATGCGCAAGCTAGTTTGTGATACATACATTTGCTAAATAACTTGAGACCAAAAGTGAAGTCAAATGCGTAAAGCAATAATAAATGAAGCACTCTATTATCTTGCGTTACTGATCAAATCATGCTAGCACACTCCTGACTGCGACCAGTAAATCAATACAGGAGCAGTCAAGCAGCATCTAAACATGTAAATTGATAAAAAGCACATTGCATAATTCTACAAGGTGCCTTATCCAATACTGAATACTTACTTATAGCAAAACACTCGTAACTGACAGTGAACTCTTCTCAATGTCAGAAGCAAATATGGCAAGAAAATTTGAGGAACTTCGGAAATAGAAACGATCAATATATTAAAGTTTGAAGGACAAACTTGTAAGCACCATTATGATCTCTTTGGCATTATCAATTGAAGATGGAACAAACAAAATCATTCATTTGTAATAATAGTCAAGATTTTGAGAGAAACTTTTGATCAATAATCTGAGAAACAACACAATCAAGTATAGTTGACCAAAACATAGGGTGTGCAAAGATACTGAAATAAAAATAACAACTAATTTTGAAATACGCGCAACTACCGAAGCAATGCCAAATCATTAAATGGATTGCTCGTGTGCTTATAGAATGAATGGAAGAATCTCGATGTGATGGATCTAACGAAATACATGACTTCTACTTTCATCTTTCGAACTCATTCATTATTTACTCAAAAGCTCAACTGCAGTAATATTCTTGCATCGTTTAATCAAATTGATCTCAATTCCCCTCCGAGCACCACTTTGCGATCTTTTCATGTGCAGCAGGAATTATAATACTAAGAAGAACATATCTTTTCAAGAGCACAATAATTTCTCTAATAAGCATAACACTACAATACTTATTTGACAAAAAATTCGTTTCCAATTTACCGAACACACAATGATCCCTTCCTGTACTTTCTTTAAATGAACCACAAATCGTATTTATAATCAAAGAATAAAGTATTTGTTATTTGCCATTTAATCACCTTTTCATCTCATAAATCAACTGCAAGAAAGCTTTAAAATACCCAAATTACGAAGCAATGCCACATCATCAAGTAATCAAATAAATTACAATTATTACTCAATGACCACACAACTACAGTAAGAAATAGAAGAAGAGTAATGAGATCACTAAGAAATAAATATTAATTAGACTTAGGGCAGTGAAAAGGACGTAAAATGGAGACCATGAAAATGAGAGCAATTATTAGTATAAATAAATAACTGTTATCAGCATGAATAAACAGGATTACTCAAAATCCATCAGGATTTTAGTAGATAACTGGTGAAAGTAAATAACAAATAAAGGAGTTTATTACAAATTTTGAATTGAAAAAAATGAAGCCATATGGCAATCAATGTAGTCTGTGATAATCAATGTTATTATAATCTGAAATTAGACCAAAATATACTATTCAAGTAGCTTTTACCAAACATTTTGAAGATTTGCGTGAGATCTCTTTCATCTGAATGGAAACACTTCCAAAATTCAGTCTTGTAAAGAAACTAGAGAAAGAGCCAGATTTTGTTCAGTATAATTGTTCCTTACTATAATATAGTCATTGGTTATCTTCAAATATAGAAGTGAGTACTTTCATACAACGGCCGTTACATTGACACTTGTCAACAAGAAAACGAGTTAAAAAACAAGAGTTCTTATAAATTTCAGCTCAAAACAAGAATCAGAGAAAAAATATTTGTTTCTTAATCACTTTTCATCTTATAAATCAACTCCCTTCAGCACCCATTACATTAATTTGGTGACAATAAAGATTATCAATCCAAACAGGTTGACATATTAGAAAGGATTTGGGATAAATGTCATCAGCATGAGGACCAAAATGACGATTAGTACCGTCACGCAAATCAATATCATTATCTTCTTCTGAAAATAAACTTTTTACTGGAGCTAATATCATACATCTCACATACGACTGAACAATACAAGTTATACCTTCAAAGCTAATTTTTTTAATAAATTAAAATAGACACCAAGAGACCAAAAAATTATAAAAACAAGCTGCTAGAGATGATAAAATAAATGGAAACACAACAACTGCCAACATGGAAAGCACAGCCACAACCATTACAATAAGTGAACTATGTACATAATGATATTTTAATACATCCCAACCGCATTTACGAAAGAAATCGAAAGAAAAATATGTATAAATCAGCGTTATTCAACACAATCACAGCTACTCAAAGACGAGAGCAATATTCGCTCCCACAGCTAGCAATAAGAAAACACGAGTGATGAAGCAGCATGCACACTCCTCGACAACAAATAAAATGCTCTTTCTGAGGCGTGTTTCTTTCCATATACAAAGTTATTCGACTGATTTCGCAGAAAAGGCTTCCCAAACAAGTTTACAGCTTTCTCCTGCAGCTCAACTGACTTCGTCCTTGAGCAAGATGAACAAAACGCTGGCACAATCGCCAAGCACTGTTCAGCATTACTAATCTTCAGGTCAGAACATTACGTTACAAAAAAATAAAAGAATGCTACTTGCATAAAATGTATCTATGCTTTTAGAGCACTTTCAACACTTCAATAGTTAAAATTACCTTTTCCACCACGAAACACCAATTTGTAATAAATATTCCTTCTGTTATAAACAATGAAAATATTTTCTGACTCATATTCACCTCGTATCTGTCCCAATTTTTTATCTCATTTTCACGAAATACACATTAACGACATAAATAAATCAAACTGTAATAACTTCTAACTGAAATTTTGCTTGCATATAATTATTTCCATTTTAATTTCTCCATTGCAAAACAAATATTTCAGATCAGCTTTTTTGATAACAAAATGAGAGCCAGTTAATAACTTTCTCCCTATGTCTTAAAGCACTTTTGAAATTTATCATAAGAGTTCAGAAACATTTCAGCCAAACATGCAACCATAAAAAATGGAGTAGGAAGTACCTCATCATTACTTATCAAAATTATGATGCACACAACTTCACTAAGTCACATATCGCGACTGCAAAAGATATCAAATAAAAATTATTAGATTGAATAGCTGATACAAACAGCAACAAAGTATAAACTACTTAAAAAAATAGTACGATCGACCAAAACATCATTATAACAAGCAAAATAATCATTTTTCCACACGAAACTTTTCATTATCTCGTAAAACTATGCAACACTCTCAAATTTTTTTTACGCAAACAACCAACTCAAAACACAGATAATGAAGGCCAGAACAAACGAAGAGAACTTCACAAAGTGCAAATAGGAAGCAGAAGATATCCAACAAGCACAACTTGAGTCTAAATCATGAACTAAGCCATGCTCACTGCTATCAGACACTTTGTCGAATATTTAAGGCATCAGCAACGAACCCAAAGGATTCATATATTATCAATATACAAATTTTGTATGATTAAAACTTGTCGAATTTTGAAAGATGAGAAACTAATCAATTAATTTGCATTTAAATATGTCACTGGCAAAGCACTTTTCAAAAATGTTTGAAACATGCATTTTTGAGCTTAATTTAAACAAATAGTATAAAAAACTAGAAAAAGGAACAAACATACCCTTCTTGCTTTACTTTGATACTGCACAGCTTTTTTGGTATCTGCTACAGCTCGATCCACAAATTCTTTTGCATGCTCAACATTATACTCTATGCGATCTACCATTTCTCCCTGAAGACAAACGAAAACATGAATAAATCTTTATAAATTCACATTTTGATGAAAAAAATAAAATAAAAGTACTTGTAATAATGTACGGTGACGTAAAATTCAAAAAAAAAACCGTACATTATTACAAGTACAGTGAAATCGAATGACTAAGCCTTTGGAAAAATGTTATGAACAAGCTAATAAGTAAATAGATATCTCACGAATATTCGTTTATTTTTAAAAGAGGAATAAGAAAGAAACATATCTTTTGCAAAGTCTTTATATTAGTTTATTTCCTTAGGCATCACCTACTTGTGACTCAACGAGCATTGCCATATCCATGAACATATCATGAAGCTCACGAATACTCGACTCTAATTTCATAATGTCGTTATGGCGAGCTTCAATATCAGCCAGTGTCTGCCGTGCTTGTTGTGTATCAGTGATAATTCCTTGTGTGAACACACCCGGATTACCAGATTCAATCATTTCTTCTAGATCCTATTGATGAAAATTATAGAGTGTAAAATTAAATGCTAGAGAAATTTGAAATTTATTAAAATTTCAATTGATAAATTGAATAAATCATTAGATGCCTGGTATTCAAAGAAACATACTTAAAAACATTTAATGATGATAATGTAGAGAGCAAAGACATATTGAGTTTTCAGAAGACCAAATTTATTTCTGGATGGTAAGTGTTAATTTGCTGTTGAATGTAGGAAAAACTGCGCAAAATTAAGTTCTATACCGGTAAAAAAAATAATGGTCAGACATTATTAGTACAAGAACAAAGTCATACTCACTTTTGCTTACTGATTCTTGAGTTGAATATTAAATTAAGATTAACACACTGAATAATTTAACAATATCCAGCAAAAGTGCTGAAAACAAAAATACCTAATCCGCAATTTCATGTAAATTTAATTTCAATCAATTATCTTAGAAGGTAAATTAGATTTCAAAAATTGGTTTACAGAAGTTTCGCATGAAATAATACCGACTTCATCACCAACTTGTTTCCCAGCAATATCTAATTGCCTCTGGATACGACCTTTACAGCGTTCACGGTAATCAGTTTGGGTTTTGTTGTAGTCTGTCATGACCTCAACGAATTTTCTAGAAAGTGTCGAATGCTGAGTTTTTCGAATACGTAAATCAGCTGATGATAAACCTCCAGTTTCATCGTGTTCTATGCTATTCTCGATTACTGTAATATCTCACTCAATTAGAGACAAAAAAACACACTCATTCTCAATAATAATCAAATTAAAATGGTTCTGTTCAACAAAAATAGCATAAGATTATCAAACAGATAAAAAATTTGGCTAACTTTAAGCGAAAAAATCAATATGCTTCTGAAGCTAATAATTTGATTGCAGCAAAAAAGGGAGGAGCTTAACACAAACAATACGGAAATTCATTATTTTCATTGCAATAACGATTCCACAAATGAGTCTCAATTAATTTTTTAAACATTTCCAAATCCTTTTTCCGTTTCTAACAACTTGAAGCTTGAAATCGCTAACATTTCAATTTCCCCCTAACTTTGTTCGCAGTTTTCTTGATACTAGCCATCAGCTCATCCAGTTCTTCCTTCGTTTCTGTAATATCAAACTTATTCTAAAATCAAATTTGAAGAAACTATTACAGAAAATTTTATTTCTTGCAGCTAAAACAGTAGAAAGAATTAAACGAATTCATCTAAATTAGTATTCGGAATTGAAATAATGCTCAAAACCTTAATAAAAATTTTCGATCTCAGATTTAGAAAGGATATGACAGACATCCTGAGTCATTCGATTTAAGAGAAAATTTGTTGTTGTTAAAAATTTATTATTTAAAAACATACTTTGTTTAGAATTTGTCTGAGAAGGTATGAAAAAATTAGTAAATCGCTAGGTCCACAGGTATTCAAATGAAATTTCTTCCAATCATGACTTTAAAATGCAAAACACAAACTTGGATCATTCACTGGATTAGAAAGAATAGCTGAATGCTTTTTCTTAACTTCCTCCACATTCGATGCTATTAAATCAACGCTACCTCGTATTTCTTCAACCTGAAGAATTGTTATATAGTAAAACATGTTAAGTAAAATGGAATAATAAAAAATACTTTTCCTTAATACTTAAATGATAAAAGTTGTCATAGACTTATTAAATTTACTGAATCCCATATTTAGTTGTGACTCAAATAACCTAGACTTATGTATGTAGTTTAACTTTCTTTATCTCAGAGTAAAATATAAGTTTACTAGGGAACAAGCTCTTGAATATTTAACCTGCTCAAAAAACTCTTCCATAAATTGGCCCTGAGTACTATCTGCTGCTGTCAACTCATCTTCATGATCTTCTTCTGACTGTGCCTGAAATCCAAGAAAATTATAGTCTTTAAAATGATATATATCATTTGAAAGATTAATCTACGACAAATGTAAATAATCTTATGAACTGCCGATAAGAAGACTTTCATCACGGCAATATCACAATCGTGTATATCATTTTGACCTACACTGCATCAATCATATGAAGTTGAAATATGTGATCAACCTTCCTAAAATATTTATTAGTAAAAAAATATACTAATTTGTTAAAGACAGATGAGAAAGTATTTGGAGAACATTATCTACCATATAGTACTATAGGAATTGAAATTACAACATTGATCGACGGCAGACAATAAGTAGTAATAAGATAATTCTGCATTGTTACTTAAGTACAATAACACTTAACGAAAACCAATACCTTCTGCTCCATAACCAAAAAAATGCATTTAATGTGCAGCAAAGTTATCAGCATTAAGATGTTTCGCAACTAATACAAGTAGCTGAAGAAAGTACGACTCTGATACTTCAAACTCATACCAGACTAATTAAATATTTTAAAACGAGGGAATTATCTGATATTAAAAAACTGTGAAAATCTTGCAAAGAAGTTGAAAATTAAAATCAGACTTACTGCTTTGAGGGCACTCAGACGATCCTTGGTCATTGCTAATTAAATGGTACACAATATACGTTTCGAAAATATCTATTAAAAAATAGAGTGATAAGTGACAGGACAGTACACCGTCTGTTCCAAGCAGATCTCACTAAACTATAGCACAGAAAAAGATGGGAGTCATAATGTTGAACGAAATCAAGTGAATGAGCTAAATACCGTCATGAAGTCCTGAAATTAGTCGCTTATTGATAATGCACTGTTTTAGCCAGCTGTTGACAAACAATTTGAATACACTCACTCATGAATATAATAGAAAACTAAATAAAATGATGTAATAGTTTTTAGGCGTCAAAAGTTGCACCAAATTATTTTTCTTACGCGCCAAAGGTAGTAAATTATGGAATAAAATAACTTAATCGACAAACCACAAAGAAAAATCACAATAAACCACAAGATTATGTATGTAACTGATAGACAGTGAAAAGTACTCATCATCTGATAAATAATAATTAAGATGAAAAAATAAGCACCAGTCAAATAAATCATACATGCTGAAGACTTGATATTACAAAAACGCGCTGGGCTAGTAAGCAGTAATACAGATATGAGAGAAAGTTTCTGAATGTTCATTCGATTAACGAAAACGTTAACCAGGCTTCCTCCACGACACTGTGTACAAACTAATTCTTTTACACCAGCTTCTTTATAAACTAAAAACTCATTTTTACTTTTTGTTTATGAAGGATTTTATTAGTTAAATAATGATCGAACTACTTTCGTTTATTTTTCTACATTTCCCAAGTCATACAACAGAAGTGTCGATAGAGACTTCAAAAGCATACTCTTTAAAACACAAATATATATATATATAT